ATAAGCTTATATTAACTTGCTAAAAATTAAAAATTAAAAATAAAAAACATAGATTTTAGTAAAAATTGAATAAAACAACAATTAAGTTTTATTTTATTAAAAAGAAATAAAAAATTTATCTTTTTTAACTAATAACAATTTTTAGTAAGGAGCTGTATAGAATAAAAATTCTACGTACAGTTTTATCAAACAGCATTTAATTAAAAGTAATAATTAAATTTGCTAGTTTTTCACCGTAACACCAAAAAAACCAAATTCCGCCTTACGTAAAGTAGCAAGAGTAAGATTAACTTCTGGATTTGAAATCACAGCTTATATACCTGGTATAGGTCATAATTTACAAGAACATTCTGTAGTATTAGTAAGAGGAGGAAGAGTTAAAGATTTACCTGGTGTTAGATATCATATTGTCAGAGGAACTCTTGATGCTGTAGGAGTAAAAGATCGTCAACAAGGGCGTTCTAGTGCGTTGTATATTATTATTTCAAATTTGTATTTTAAAATAATACCATGTTAAATGTTAAAAACATGTAAACATAGCTAACCAAAAAATAAAAAATATTAAAACGGGACTAAAGCAAGCTAATTTAAATTATATATTTAAATATTTAAGGTTTATTTATTAAATAAAAAGTATTCCCTAACTCAAATATTATTAAAAATAAAAAATTTTAACTTTTTTAGAACAAGTTAAAAAAAAAAACATAAAAAATTAATATAAATTTTTTTTATTTTTTAAACCTAAAAATTTTAATATGAAATTAATAAAATACATGATTTTCTATAAAACTTATAAAAAAAGAAAACGGATACTTAATTTAAAGTAAGTAAGTATTTAAAATAAAAAATATTTAAATATTTTTTTTATCTTTTAAATACGGAAAGCCGTATTCAATGAAAGTTGTATATACGGTTTGAAGGGAGATTTTTTACATTTTTAATTAATCCACCCTACAATATGGAGTGAAAAAGCCAAAATAAATTACTTTTTTTTTTCTGTTTAATAAATTATTTAATTATTTTTTTAATGTTATGTCACGCCGTAGTATTATAGAAAAAAAAACCATAAAATCGGATCCAATTTATCGTAATCGATTAGTAAATATGATGGTTAATCGAATTTTAAAAAATGGAAAAAAATCATTAGCTTATCGCATTTTTTATAAAGCAATGAAAAATATTAAACAAAAAACAAAAAAAAATCCATTATCTATTTTACGTCAAGCTATACATAGAGTAACACCTAATGTGACAATAAAAGCACGACGTGTAGGTGGATCCACCTATCAAGTACCAGTTGAAATAAAATCTGCTCAAGGTAAAGCTCTTGCTATTTGTTGGCTTTTAAGAGCTTCTAAAAAACGTTTAGGTCGAAATATGGCTTTTAAATTGAGTTATGAATTAATTGACGCTGCTCGAGATAGTGGAGAAGCAATACGAAAAAAAGAAGAAACTCATAGAATGGCTGAAGCTAATAGAGCTTTTGCTCATTTTCGTTAATTTTTAAAAAATAAAATAAAAAGATCTCTATAGTATATATAGATAGAGCTTTTTTAAAAAGATTTATATAATATAAATAATCGAGTAGTAAAAATTAGAATAATTAAAAAAAAAATTATATAATTTTTACTACTCGCTTATTTATATAAATATAATATATAAGTATTAAAATTTTTTTACATATCGAGAAAATTTTTATGGAATTAGAACTTGATCTTTCTTTTTTTTACAAAACAACTATTTTGCCTGAATGTGTTCTTATTTTTTGTCTAATAAGTATTTTAATATTAGATTTAATTTTAAAAATAAAAGATAAAAATGTATTTTTTTTTATTTCTTTAGTAAGTTTATTATTAAGTATTTTTATTTTAATATTTCAATTAAAAGAAGAACCCGTTATTAGTTTTTTAGGCAATTTTCAAGCTGATAATTTTAACAAAATATTTCGAATTTTTATAGCATTATGTTCAATATTATGTATTCCTTTATCTATTGATTTTATTAAATGTACAAAATTAGCAATAACAGAATTTCTTATTTTTTTATTAACTGCAACTATCGGAGGAATGTTTTTATGTGGTGCTAACGATTTGATTACTATTTTTGTATCTTTAGAATGCTTAAGTTTATGTTCTTATTTATTATCCGGTTATACTAAAAAAGATGTGCGATCTAACGAAGCGGTTATGAAATATTTACTTATAGGTGGAACAAGTTCATCTATTTTAGCTTATGGTTTTTCGTGGCTTTACGGTTTATCTGGAGGAGAATTTCAACTTCAAAAAATAGCAGATGGGCTTGTTAGTACAGAGATGTATAATTCTTTCGGAAGTTTGCTTGCACTGGTATTTATTATTGTAGGAATTGGATTTAAACTTTCTTTAGTACCTTTTCATCAATGGACTCCTGATGTCTATGAAGGAGTGTGATTCGTTTTTTTAATTTTAAATATAAAAAAATAATATTATTTATTGTTTTATTATATTTTTAAATATTTTATAGACATGCAAAATAAAAATAAATTATTGTTTTCACTTAAAAATAAAATATAACTTTTATCAAATTAAAAATAAAAAAATTAATAAAATTTAAGATAAAGCAAAGTTAAAATAGAAAAAATTCTAAATTAATTATTAAGGATAATTTAATAAAAAAAATAATCTAATGAAATAAAATTATATAATTTAAAGATTTCAAAAAATACTAATTAGTAATTTTCTATCCTTCGAAAATTATAAGTTTATTACAAGTATTTTTTTTTTTTAAACCTAAAATAATAAAAATTCATGACTATTAAAAACGAAAAAAATTAGATGGTTTTTTTACTTAAAAAAAACCACTAAAATAGGATTCCTCGTAAAGTTTAATTTCAATAAAATTTTATTTTTCATTTTTGATACACACACGAGGAGAGTAATATAAATTTTATATTATTACTTAGGAGCTGTGTGAAATTAAAGTTTCACGCACAGTTTTGAATGAGAGAAAATAATGAGTAATCTTCTTTTCGATTCTAACTCCCCTACCCCAGTCGTTGCTTTTCTTTCAGTTGCTTCAAAAATAGCGGGTTTAGCTTTGCTAGTTCGTCTTTTTAATATTGTTTTTCCTTTTCTTCCTAATCAATGGCATTCACTTTTAGAAATATCAGCTATTTGTAGCATGATATTGGGTAATTTGGTAGCTATTACTCAAACAAGTATGAAGCGTATGCTTGCATATTCCTCAATAAGTCAAATTGGATATTTAATGATTGGATTAGTTACAGGAAATTTTGACGGATATACAAGTATGATAGTTTATTTATTATTTTATATATTTATGAATTTAGGAACTTTTGCTTGTATTATCCTATTTGGATTACGTACAGGAACAGATAATATTCGTGATTATAGTGGATTAATTTTAAAAGATCCGTTATTAACTTTTTCTCTTGCTTTATGCTTATTGTCTTTAGGGGGTATTCCCCCTTTATCTGGTTTTTTTGGAAAACTTTATTTATTTTGGTGTGCTTGGAAAACTGGTTTATATTTTTTAGTTTTTATTGGTCTTTTTACAAGCGTTATTTCTATATATTATTATTTAAAAATAATTAAATTATTAATTACTACAGAAAATAAAGAAGTAACTTCTTATGTACAATCTTACACCGTTTCTTCTTTTTCGCTTCTCTCAAAAAATTCAATTGAAGTTAGTATAATTATATGTGTAATTGCTTCTATATTTTTAGGAATATTTATGAATCCAATTATTAACATCCTTCAAATTAATTTACATTTAAACACTTTTACAAATATTTAAATAAAAAATTATAAATACTTACAATTATAATAGCTAAATAATTAATATATTTTATTAATTATTAATTATTATAAATTTAAAATATTATTTATTAATTTATTAATTAAAAGTTTAATTTACTTTTTTAGTTAGATTTTTATCTAACTAAAAAAGTAAATTAAATAAAAATAGATTTTTTATATTTCTTTTTATATAATAGCTTTCTGATATGCCTTGGTGGTGAAATGGTAGACACGTAAGACTCAAAATTTTATGCTTTAAAGCGTGGAGGTTCGAATCCTCTTCAAGGCAATATTTTTTAAGTAGGAAAAAAATAATCTTATGTTATACTATTTAGTTGATATCAATGATTTAGTTAAACTCAAAAAAATAAAATCATATTCTTTTGATTTCAAATATTTTGATTAAACTGCTTAATTTTATAATTAAACTGATAATAAAAAAATTATAAATAAAATCAGATGATATTTTTTAGTATTGTAAACTAAACATTAATATAATAAACATATGGAAGTAAATATTCTTGCATTTATTGCTACTGCATTGTTCATTTTAATCCCCACAGCTTTTTTGCTAATTCTTTATGTACAAACAGCTAGTCAGGGTAGTTAATAATAAAATTTATTTTAGATTATTACTTATTTTGGATTTATTAAATAATATTGTATTTTTAATAAAATATTTAGTTTTTTACAATATTAAAATTTAAGTTAAAAAACTAAAAAAATTATATATAATTTTTTTAGTTTTTTAACTTAAATATATTTTTATTATTTTAATTATATGATTCATATAGAATTAGGCCCTAGTACAATAGTAGGAATAGGGCTTATTGTAGTAGGTATACTTTTATATGCCCTTCGAATAAGGGAACCTAATGTATCTAGAGGTGTGATTTATCCTGTACTTAAATAAAGTAAAAAAATTTCAATCTATTTAATAGTAACAATAAATAATAAATAGAAAACTTGAAATAAAATTTAAAATTATATCAAAAAATCTATGGCTAAAAATTGAACATAATTAAAACATTATTTCGAAAACATGCTTAAATTTTAAATTAAAGAAAATTGGAACTTTAATTAAATAACAACTAAAAATAATTTATTTTTTTTTATTTAATTTTATTTTTATATCTTTAGAAATAAAAATAATTAAATCCATGAAATATAAAATGAGCCTAAGGATAATGTTAAATAAATTTAAGTATAAATAAAATAAACTTGTTGTAAAAATAAAATCAAACAAGAAAAGACAATCCAAAAAGTTTTTTTTTTTCAAAATTCTTTTTAAACTTACTTGGATTTAGAACATTTAAATTTTATAAGGTTTTTTTTTTCATTTTAATGTTTAAGCCATAAAGAAATTAAAATATCATGTATGGTTTTTAAGAGGGTCATGTCTATAAATAAAAACATTAACCTATCTTAATATTATGATTCATTTTTTTCATCAATTGGATTATTATGTGGAGGGATTCTTATTTTTCAAGGTTGGCGATTAGATCCAATTCTTTTATTATCACAAATACTTTTAAGTGGAACTGCCATTTTTTTTATAGTAGAAAGTTTATACTTACGGAATAATAAATTAAATTTTACTATTTTTTCTAAAAAAAATAATAATTATTTTATTTCACAAAAAAAAAACTTAAAGAAAAATAAAAATTATCAAAAAATAAAATTAAAAAAAAAATTTTATAAAGGGTGGGAAAAAATTGATTATACTTTTTTTATTTCTTATACAAATTAATTTATTAAATAGTAAAAGTATAATCTAATTAGTTTAATGCTTTTTTTTATTTTTATATTTAATAAAAAAAATATAAAAATAAAAAAAACATTAAATTTTAAATCTAATTTTTATAATCCGCTTCTTCCCCAAACGACAAGTGAAAGAGAAAATGTAAACATTACCATTAAAGCACCCCAAGCAATATTAACTATATCCATATGTTTTTTATAAATGTTAAAATAAAAATTAATTATAAATAATACTTATAAGAAAAATAAATAAAAAATTATTTTTTTTATAATGTTTTTGTATTTATAACAAAAAAAAGACTATACATACATATATATATATCATATTCTTTTATTATAAGAAATATAGATAAATAGTTAGTATGTAAATATTAAAAGACTTGCTTTTTTTATTTATTTGATTTATTCTTAATGTTAGGATTATCTATTAATAATGCGTTTAAATAAAAAAAAAGTACTAGGCTAAAGTAAATTATAGAGCAATACAGTTTTTATTTAAAACATGACATAGTAGTTAATCCAACTCTTTTTAATAAATTTACTTTTTTAGGCGACACCCAGATTCGAACTGGGGGTAAAGGATTTGCAATCCTCTGCCTTACCACTTGGCCATGTCGCCGTTTTTTGTTTAAAAAAATATAAAAAAAAAATTTAATATTTAATAAATTTTTATTAGTTAAATAAATTAATATAATCACTTTATGATTATATTACTTAAAAATTTTTTAATCAAGTCTTTTTCTATTTTTTTTTAATAAATAAAAAAAAATAACTAAATTAAATTAAAAAAAAATTTATTTTTTTATTAATTAATTAGAGTATTTACTTTAAAGTAAATACTCTAATTAATTAATAAAAAAAAGAATCTATTAGATTAGTCTAATATTAAAAAAGCCCTAAAGTTAATGATATATCAATAGGTAAAGCTGCTCCAATACCTAACCAAATAGATACTACAGTACCAATTAAAAAAACAGTTGTTGCTACTGGACGACGGAAAGGATTTTGAAACTTATTTACATTTTCCAAAAAAGGTACTGTTAATAAGCCTGCAGGTACTGCAGCCATTAAAAGAACACCTAATAATTTATTAGGAACTGTGCGAAGTATTTGAAAAACTGGAAAAAAGTACCATTCAGGTAAAATTTCCAAAGGAGTTGCAAAAGGATTTGCTGGTTCACCAATCATAGAAGGCTCTAAAACAGCTAAGCCTACAGTACATGCAATAGTACCTAAAATAACAACTGGAAAAATATATAAAAGATCATTAGGCCAAGCAGGTTCTCCATAATAGTTATGACCCATACCTTTAGCTAATTTAGCTCGTAAAACAGGGTCACTTAAATCAGGTTTTTTTGTTATTAAGATAGGCTATTTAAAAAATATTCCCCTTAAAGAATTGGACATGAATTTTTTATTCATCCAACTCAAACTATTTTTATTTAAATTTTATTTATTTAAAAAAGTTCAAAATCCAAGTATGCTTTTTTGAAATTTTTTTATAATTAATTTATTATAATATGCATTTTGGATAGTCTTAGTTTTTATAAGTTTTTTTATTATCTATAAAATTTTGTACTTATTTAAACTTAACTTGTTAGTATATTAACTTTTTTTTTCCTTAGATTTTTTTTTTACTCCTATGATTTTTATATTAAAAAACCCAACGGAAATGAATGATGTTTTTTATCACATTATTTTAATATATATCATATAGAAATAATACAGATATACATATATTAATTATTTATTAAATTTTATGAAGCCTATTTAGAAAATAAATCATAGAAAAAAATTTGTTTAAAAAAATTTACCTAAGTTTTTTTATTTTTATTAAAATAATTTAGGATAACAACACATTTAAATTTTATAATTAATGTGGTAGACTAAATAAAAAATCTACATAGTCAATAATTAATTCAAGTCACACACTCCCATAATTAAAATTTTTTTTTAAATAAAGATATATTTTATTTAAATGTTTAAATAAAATACAGAAAATCCATAAATTTTTTTTAAGCGTTAAACTAAAAATAATTTATGGCAATAAATAAATTTAGTTCATAATAAAAATTTAATAGTAAAAATTTACTATTAAAAATTTATTATGTCAGCAAAATTTAGTAAAAATTATATTCTAATAATTTATAGAGGACCTGAAATACCTTGTTTACGAATCATTAAAAAGTGCATTAACATAAACACTGCAGTAAGAAGTGGTAATACAAAAGTATGTAAACTGTAAAATCGAGTTAATGTAGATTGACCTACACTAACACTTCCTCTTAATATTTCTACTAAAGGTGAGCCTATAACAGGAATAGCTTCAGGTACACCTGTTACAATTTTAACAGCCCAATAACCAATTTGATCCCAAGGTAAAGAATATCCAGTTACACCGAATGAAACTGTTAATACTGCTAAAATAACACCAGTAACCCAAGTTAATTCACGAGGTTTTTTGAAACCCCCTGTAAGATAAACACGAAATATGTGTAAAATCATCATTAAAACCATCATACTCGCGGACCATCTATGAACTGATCTAATTAACCAGCCAAAATTAACTTCAGTCATGATATATTGAACAGATGCAAAAGCTTCAGTAACAGTTGGACGATAATAAAAAGTCATAGCAAACCCAGTTGCTACTTGAACTAAAAAACAAGTTAAGGTGATGCCTCCTAAACAATAGAATATATTCACATGTGGTGGAACATATTTACTAGTAATATCATCTGCAATTGCTTGAATTTCAAGACGTTCTTCAAACCAATCGTATACTCTATTGAGATAGACAAACTTTTATGTATTTCCTCTCTACAAACCGTAAATGATAATTTTTTTTCATACGGCTTAAAAATAAAAAAGTATATATATATAAATCGAAATTTTTATATATTTTTTATATTTTATCTCAAGTTAGCTTTTTATATTAATTGCTTTTTTGAGCGATCTTCTTCTTTAAAATGAATAATTTTTTTTTAAAGATTTTCTTGTTTAAAATTTATTAAAAATAATTAAACTTTAGATTTTTACTATATTCCGATGACTAAAAAAAAATTATAATAGGTAAATAATTTTTAAAATCATTATAAACTTTTAAAGAGTAAAAACACTTAAATTTGGTAACGAAATTTAAATAGTAAATTAAAAAAATTAATCATAGTTTAAATAAAAAAAAAATATTTGCTAATATTTTAATTGAAATTTATGCTTTAAATATTAAATTTATTAACATTTAATAAAATAAAATAATCTTTTTTTTAAGATTAACAAATTATTTTGTCTTTTTTAAATTTCATTTATCTAACCAAGTCGCACACCCATAATCCATAAATCCTTTAATTAATTGATTACACGATTAAACTACCTTTAGTAAATAAATAAAGTTGGTAATAACTTAAAAAGGTTCAATAAAAAAGTTTAAACTTTTTTATTGAACCTTTTTAAGTTATTACCAACTTACAGGAACTCCATCTAATAATACGGAAGAATTATAAAGTTCAAGAATAATAACTAAAAAAACAGCAAATAATCCCATTGCAACACCCATTAAAGGTGTTGTACCCCATCCAGGAGCAACTTTACCATATTCTGAATTAAGTGGTTTTAATATATCTCCTAAACCACTTCTTTTTCCTTTTGTTTTAGGAGTATCATCAATAATTTGTGTAGCCATAAAATTTTATTGCATTAGTTGAGATTTGTTAACTTTGTGTACTATTATATTAATTAAAAATAAACCATTCTTTTGGAACTACTTAAAAATGGAAACTGCAACATTAGTCGCTATATTTATATCGTGTTCACTCGTAAGTTTTACTGGCTATGCTCTTTATACAGCTTTTGGGCAACCCTCTAAAGAACTTAGAGATCCTTTTGAAGAGCATGAAGATTAAATTAATTATTAAAAACCTTCCCTAAAATAAAAAGGGAAGGTTCGTAATTTTTTATCAAAATAAAAAATTATTTTTTTTCTTTAGTTTGAAGTTTAGGTGGTTCACGAAAAAAAATAGCAAAAAAGATTATTCCTAAAGTACCTACCAATAAAAATGTATAAACCAATGCTTCCATAGATTTTATTATAGTGAGAAGTATGGAGATAGCTTTCGTACTAATTGAAAACAAAATTTATTTAAAAAAAGTTTAGAAAAATAATTTCTATATTTATTTATATATATATTATTTTTTTTTTACAAAAAAAAAGAAAAAACTCTTTATTAAATCAATCTAGTGATTATTTGTCTCTTAGTAGTAGGGTCTCCTAATTTCTGGAATGCTCCAAATTCTACTTGTGCGTCTAGATCTGGATCAATACCAGCAAAAACGTCTCTAAATAGAGTTCTAGCACCGTGCCAAATATGACCAAAGAAGAAAAGAAGAGCAAACGTGGCATGACCGAAAGTAAACCAACCTCTTGGACTACTACGGAAAACACCATCTGATTTTAAAGTAGCGCGATCAAATTCAAAAATTTCACCTAGTTGAGCACGTCTAGCATATTTTTTTACTGTAGCTGGATCACTAAAACTTACTCCGTTAAGTTCACCACCGTAAAATTCAACAGTTACACCAACTTGTTCAACACTATATTTAGATTCCGCTCTTCTAAATGGAACGTCAGCTCTAACAATTCCTTCTTCATCTACTAAAACCACTGGAAAAGTTTCAAAGAAAGTAGGCATACGACGAACAAAAAGTTCATGTCCTTCTCTATCTTTAAAAACAGCATGACCTAACCATCCAACAGCTATTCCATCTCCATTATCCATAGCACCCGCTCTAAATAATCCACCTTTAGCTGGATTATTACCAATGTAATCATAAAAAGCTAATTTTTCTGGAATTTTAGACCAAGCTTCTGACAAACTTAAATTTTCGCTTTTACTAGCACGAATTCGACGATCGATTTCTTGTTGAAAAAAACCTTGATCCCATTGATAACGAGTAGGGCCAAATAATTCTACTGGAGTTGCAGCAGAACCGTACCACATAGTTCCAGCAACAACAAAAGCAGCAAAAAATACAGCAGCAATACTACTAGATAAAACAGTTTCAACATTCCCCATACGTAATCCTTTATATAATCGTTGAGGAGGACGAACACTAAGATGGAATAAACCAGCTAGTATACCTAAAATACCTGCTGCAATATGGTGAGAAGCTATCCCTCCTGGAACAAAAGGGTCAAAACCTTCAGCTCCCCAAGCTGGAACAACAGGTTGTACTTTTCCAGTTAATCCATAAGGATCGGATACCCAAATACCAGGGCCAAATAAGCCTGTTACATGGAAAGCTCCAAATGCAAAACAAAGAACTCCAGATAAAAATAAATGAATACCAAAAATTTTAGGTAAATCTAATGAAGGTTTTCCTGTACGTTCATCACGAAATAACTCTAAATCCCAATACACCCAGTGCCAAATTGCTGCTAAAAATAGTAAACCTGATAATACAATATGTACTGCAGCTACACCTTCATAACTCCAAATACCTGCATTATTTACAGTTTCACCCGTAATGCTCCAACCGCCCCAAGATTTTGTTATTCCTAAACGAGTCATAAACGGTATAACAAACATACCTTGTCTCCACATTGGATCAAGAATAGGATCAGAAGGATCAAAAACAGCTAATTCGTATAAAGCCATAGAACCTGCCCAGCCAGAAACTAAAGCGGTATGCATTAAATGTACAGCAATTAAACGACCGGGATCATTTAGTACAACAGTATGAACACGATACCAAGGTAAACCCATGGAAATACCCCTTTCTCAAAGAGAATTAAAGACTATGTAACTTTTTTGCATTAATTAATGACTATACTATAATAAAATAAAGTGAAATTACTAATAAAAATAATTTAAACTTTAATAAATTTTTTTTTCTTTTTAAATTATATATAATATAATTATATATAATATAATTATAAAATTATATAGAAAAATAACGATATTATTAAAAAAATATAATATAATCTTCTTAAGAACATTATAAACTAATTTTTTATTTGTTAGCTACTTATTTTTTTCTAAGTGTCATTCTATATTTATTTTAAATAAAAAAAATGCCTATCGGTGTTCCAAAAGTGCCTTTTAGGCTTCCAGGAGAAGAAGATGCTGTTTGGATCGACGTATAGTGTGTTTCTTAAACATATTTGGTTATATGGAAATTTTCCATCATCTTTTTTTTTTACTTAATTTAGATGTTTTTATTTCATTTTAAATTTTGAAAACTTAAAAAATTTAATAGCATGATATATTCTTTAATAAAAAGTATTAAGTAAAAAGATTTAGTTATCTTTTCTAGGGTTAGTCAACCAAAAAAATAAATTTTTAAACTTCGTTAAAGATTTAAGTTAAATGTTAATTAAAGTTAATATAAATTTAATCTAAAATAACAAAAAGCAATAATTTTTACTTTTATATGTAAGTAAAACTAAATTGATTGTACCGAAGTAGATTATAAACCTAACGATATTACTAAAAACCGTTTGTAAACAAAAAATATAAATAAAAATATATATTTTAAAATTTTAATAATAAATTATTTAATAAATATATTGAGTACCAAATTGTTTAATAAGTTGTTTGTAAATAATAAAAAAACGAACTTGAACTATTAAACGAACTAACAGTCATAATTATTATTTATAAAATATAAAAAAATCTTATTTTTCTTAATTTAATATTTTTTTTTAACTGTTTAAGCTGTATTGAGCAAATAAAAAAGCTAGTACAGTTATATAAAAAAACATTTATTAATTTTTATTATAACAATCGACTTTATCGAGAAAGATTACTTTTTTTAGGACAGCATGTAGATGATGAAATTGCGAATCAACTTATTGGTATCATGATGTACTTAAATGGAGAAGACGAAAATAAAGATATGTATTTATATATTAATTCTCCTGGTGGAGCTGTATTAGCAGGAATATCCGTTTATGATGCTATGCAATTTGTAGTTCCTGATGTTCATACAATTTGTATGGGATTAGCTGCTTCAATGGGATCTTTTATTTTAGCTGGGGGTGAAATTACTAAACGTATAGCGTTACCTCACGCTTTGCGCCAATATTTGCTTTTTTTTTTAATTAATAAAAAATGTCTATACCTAAAAAAAAGGTAATAATAGCATGACATGAAAAAGCTTAATAAAAAACATTTTAAGATTTTTATTAAGATAATTAAATAATATATATATATTTTTTTTTTTCAATTTATTTTAGTGTTATAAATTAATATTTTCTTTAATTTTTTATTTAATAGAAAATATATAAATAAAAAATATATTTTTAACTAAAATTAAAATTAGTTATATTAAAAAAAACTTTGGCATTGTTTTATAAAACAACAGAACCATAATAGTATTTAATAAAAGAAAAATGGTATATAAATTTAAAAATTATAAAATAAAAAACAATAATTTTATTAATTTATTTTAAGAGCTGTATACATTAAAAACTGTACGTACAGTTCATAATTAAAATTTTAAATAAATTAAATTAGGGTAATGATTCATCAACCTGCTAGTTCTTATTATGATGGACAAGCAGGAGAATGTATTATGGAAGCCGAAGAAGTATTAAAACTTCGCGATTACATTACTAGAGTTTATGTACAAAGAATAGGTAAACCTTTGTGGGTTATTTCTGAAGATATGGAAAGAGATGTTTTTATGTCAGCGCAAGAAGCAAAAACCTATGGCATTGTTGATCTTGTAGCTATAGAAAACACTTAAATTTAATAATTTTTTTTCTATTTATTTATCTATAAAATGGATTTAATAACTATTTCATAATACTTTTAATAGAAATAAAAAAATAATTTCTATATTAAATTTTATGGTTAAAATCTATTTAAACCAATAAATTCTGCATATTATATAATTTTAAAATGCCTACTATTCAACAATTAATTAGAAATCGAAGACAACCAATAGAAAATAGAACAAAATCTCCAGCTCTTCGTGGATGTCCTCAACGAAGAGGAGTTTGTACTAGAGTGTATGTGCGACTTGTTACGATTAAATTTTTTTAAATTATATAAAAGTTCGATATAGCAGAAGAATTTTTTATTTTAAAAATTTTTAAATCTATCATTTATTTAATAAATAAATGAAATTTATAATTTTTATTGGTGCAAATCCAATTATTTTAATTGTAAAATAAAAAGCGAATTTTCAATATTATTTATTTAAATATAAATATATTAAGCGGAAAGAAAAAATACATAAAAAAAAAATAATTATAAATAATTGTATTATTGCAAAAACAGATTAATAAAGTCAGCTGCCTAGCAAACTATTATAATAATATATCGTTACTAGATAAAAAGTTTTTAATTTCAATACCTTTTTTTTAAGATATAAAATAAAGCTAATATTTAGAAATTATACAAATTACTAATCACATCTTTAAAATTAAAAAGCTCCGGTATATAGAAAGGGCTTAACTGTTGAAGGAAAAATTATAGAAACAATGGAATCCATTATTCTTTTATTTTAAGGTCCTATTCCTTTATTAGTAAAAAAGTTTTTTAGCTTAAAAAATAATGGTTAGGAAGGTTAAAGTAGCAAAAGCCATTAGAATTTTTACTTTCTACACTAGAAATTTAGTTTTTTATCAACAATTAAAAAAAAGTTTTCTTTATATAAATATATATATATATATTTATATATTTATTTAATTATTAATGATTAAAAAAATAATAATATTTAAATAAAAAATATATATATATATATTATATTTATTTTATTCTTTTCATTTCAAAAAATAAAATAAAAATGAATATTTTTATTTTATTTTTTTACTACTAAAAAAAAGAAATTATAGTTTAAATAAAAATTTATTTTATAAAGAAAAAATTTTTTATTTTTTAATTAAAATCAATAAGTAATTTACGAGAATAGATATTAATGACTAGAGTTAAACGTGGGTATGTAGCTCGAAAACGACGAAAAAATATTTTTACGCTTACATCAGGATTTCAAGGAGCTCATTCAAAATTATTTCGAACAGCTAATCAGCAAGGAATGCGAGCGTTAGCTTCTTCTTATCGAGATAGAAATAGACGAAAAAGAGATCTTCGTCGTTTATGGATCACTCGAATTAATGCAGCAGCACGCAATAATGGAATTTCATATAATAAATTAATTCAAAACTTATATCAAAATCAAATACTTTTAAATCGAAAAATGCTTGCACAAATAGCGTTATTAGACACTAATTGTTTTTCTACAATAATGAAAAAAATTAATGAATAATAAAAAGACTTCTCTGTAACAAATTAAATTGTTCCAGAGAAGTCCAAAACATCAAAAAATGATTAAAGATTCGTAAAAATTTTAGCAATACTAAATCATCAAAATAAAATTAAATTAATTTTCATTATTTAAAAAAGGTAATAAAGCTAAAACTCGGGCGCGTTTAATAGCAATAGTCATCAAACGTTGTTGTTTTGAAGTTAATCTATTCATCCGTCTAGATAAAATTTTTCCTTGTTCACTGATAAATCTACGAAGTAAATTAATATTTTTATAATCAATAATTTCGCCTGATCTTATTGGTGGCAAACGTCTACGAGAAGAGCGCTTAGATTTGTTTATAGCTTGTTTCATAAATACTATTTATTTTTTTATTTCTTTGTGAATAGTATGCTTATTACAATAAGAACAAAATTTTTTTAATTCTAATCGAGTAGGTGTATTACGACGATTTTTTTGAGTAGTATATCGAGAAACACCTAATTTTTTTTTTTCGTTATTTTGAGCACAATTATTAGTACATTCTAAAGTAATTGTTACCCTTACATCTTTATTCTTAGCCATAATATTATTTATTTTGAATATTGAATCTCTAAAATTTAGAAAATGTGTTTAAAAAAAATTAGCAATTAAATTTCAATTTTTTAGTGAATTATAATAATAATAATAAAAAACTAAAAAAAATTATCATTATTTATAAATATAAATTTTTCTTTTTTTAGAAAAAATTTAAAATATATTATATTTAAAAAAATTATAAAGGAAGAACTAAAGCATCTGGAAAAAAACGATTAATTTCTATTAATAAACCAGCTAAAAATCCAAACCATAGAGTCGCTAATACGGGTGCTGTAGAAAGGTATGTTTTTACATCTTGCATGGGGATCTCCTTATATATATGTTTATAAAATTATAAATAAACGATTATTTTTCCTGAACTTCTTTTTATATAGCAAAATAATAAACTAAAATTTTAAAGAAAAAAACAAATAAATTAAAAATTTACTTTATATATAAAATATATAAATTGTTTTATTTTATTTATTTTAAAAAAATATATTTTTTTTATAAAAAATATATATATATATAAATATATATAAATAATTTTTTATTAAATAAAATAATTTTAATAAAAATATTTAAAAAATTATTTTAAAATAAAATAGATAAATAAAAAGAAAAGTATAGGCAAAAAGCGATAAATAAGCTACAATTGAAATGCATATAAAGTAATAATTAATACTAGGAGGGATGTAGCGCAGTTTGGTAGCGCGTTTGTTTTGGGTACAAAATGTCGCGGGTTCGAATCCTGTCATCCCTACCTTAAAATATATTTACTAAAAATTTACTTTAAAGTAAAATAGGAATTAAAAATTATTTTATATTATTATTATTTATTTGAATAAATAATAATTATATTATAATTATTATTTATTCAAATAAAAGCGCTTTTAGTTCAGTCTGGTAGAACGCAGGTCTCCAAAACCTGATGTCGTAGGTTCAAATCCTACAGGGCGTGCTTATGAAAAAATTTTAAAACAAAATATTAGTTAAAATTTTTAATTATGAGTTATTTAAAGATCTAATTGATCACCACGTCGATATTGTAAATACGCAGTTACAAATAATCCAGCTAAAGTTATTGGAATTAACCCCAGTACAATTCCAGACAGTAACGCTTCAACCATTTTTTTATTTAATTAAAATAATATTTAAGTTAGAAACTAACTAAATTTATTATTAATCTTAAAATTTTTTAAGAAATACAGTGAAATTAATTTGACCTTAAATTTTTTTTTTTCGAATTTTTTAAATAAGTTGTATTTTATTTAAACCAATAAATAAAATTAAAGCTAAAGTTAAAGCACCAAATAAAAAGCCAAAATAACTAATTATAGTAAGCATAAGAAAAATCCTAATGAAAATAGAACAATTTTAGTATACATCTTTATAAAACAATTACCTAAATTCTTTATTAATTAAAAATTTTATTAATTAAAATATGATAAATATACATTCGCTTAATTTTGCACCATGCTTTTTCTATTAGTTTTATTGCTATTTTTAGAGTATTTGTATTTTTTTCTGTGTATAATATTTTTTAATTATTTGGTTTTAAATATTTTTTTTTTTTTCAAAAAAAAATTATAGTTAATAAATAAGAAAATATATTAAATTTTAATATTTCTATTAATATTTATAGTAATTAATTTTATTTTTAATTTAATTTGCAAAATTGTAACAATTTAAATTAGTATAATATTGTAAAAAACTGTTACATTTTACATAATAAATTAATAATTTAATAAATTTTTTATTAAATTAATTAAAAAGATAAAAAATTTGACGTTTTTTTATACTTTTTTATTTTATTTGTCTTGCTACGCTAAAACAACCCTAGATATACTTATTTAGTATGCTTCAAAAATACCTTTGGTATTACATTGACAATCTAACGAGGATTAAAAAAATTTAATAGATTTAAAAAAAATTTAAATTTCATTTCTTATAAAATTTTTTTACCTAACCTCTACAAATATATATGGAGCGGAGCTAAGCATGTCTGGAAATACAGGAGAGCGCCCTTTTGCTGATATTATTACCAGTATTCGATATTGGGTAATTCACAGCATAACTATCCCATCTTTGTTTATTGCAGGTTGGCTATTTGTTAGTACAGGTTTGGCTTATGATGTTTTTGGTAGCCCTCGACCAAATGAATATTTTACAGAAAGCCGACAAGAAGTTCCTTTAATTACTGGCCGTTTTAATTCACTAGAACAAGTTGATGAATTTACTAGATCTTTTTAGGAGGTACTAATGACTATCGATAGAACTTATCCAATTTTTACAGTTAGGTGGTTGGCCGTGCACGGACTAGCTGTACCTACAGTTTTTTTTCTAGGAGCAATATCAGCAATGCAATTTATCCAACGATAAATTCAATGATAAACTTTATTTAAAATGTAAAGCTATGACACAACCAAATCCAAACAAACAAAGTGTAGAATTAAATCGTACTAGCCTCTACTGGGGTTTATTACTTATTTTTGTATTAGCTGTTTTATTTTCTAATTATTTCTTTAATTAGTTAAAATAGAAATTTCTTTACCTTATTTGGAACGAATTTAAAATTTGAATATTTATGACTGTTTTTTTGTTTAAGTTCTAACTAACTAATAAAATTGAAAAGGGAGTATAAAATAAATGGCAAATACCACCGGAAGAATTCCTTTATGGTTAATAGGTACTGTAGCTGGTATTCTTGTACTTGGTTTACTAGGCATCTTTTTTTATGGCTCATACTCTGGATTAGGGTCATCTTTATAATGCTTAAGTTTTTAAGCATATATAAAAAAAAAGTTTATGCATTAAACAAATAAAATAAAACTAAAAAACAAAATAAAAAAAAAATTGAAAAGATATTATGAAACTTTATTATATAAAGTTTCATAATATCTTTTCAATTAATAAAAAAACAAATAATGTTAAAAACATTATTTAAAAAATTTAAAAGAATAAAAAAGAAATTAAAATAACTTAAAAAACAATTTAATAAATTTCTATTTTTAGAATGTAAATAAAAAAAAAAAAAATTTGTTTTTCAAATCGGGCCATTTTAAAAAGTTTAATAGAAAATTCTAATAAATTTTCACGATACGCAAGATGAGCCATTTTTAAGTATAGTTCATCAGCTTTCCATTTTTTATAAGCTAAAATTAATTTAAAAATAAAATATAAAAAAGATTTTTTTGGCAATTGTTTGTTAATTTTATTAAAAAAATAAATAATATTTTTTCCTTTAAAGCAAACTTTTTTTTTAATTTTTTTTGAAAATATTTTGAAAAAAACAAGGATATTTCCAATAATTCTTTTGTTTTATTAGTATATATATATTGATTATATTTGTTTTTTTTAGAAATTTTTTTTTTTTTATATAAATAATAATTATTTTTATATAAAAAAGAAGTTTGATTATTAATATATTTTTCAATATCAAATTTTTTTTCTAATTGAGAATATGTTATTAATTTTAATTTTTTTTTTTCTACATTTTCGAAAAAAAAAAAATTATTACTATAATATATAGTGTTAAAATATGTACAAAAAATTTCTTCCCATTTAGTTAATTGTAATATATTTTTTACCCCTTGTTGAGTTATTTTTTTAAAACAATTTAAACTTAACGTATATCCATAGTAATTCAAAATTTCTTTTAATGAAGGAAAAAGATAATAATACTCAAAATATTCAATTTTTAAAGAAATTATTATCATATTATATAAACATAAAAAACCTAAATTGAATTTCATTATAATGATGATTCATAATAGAAAAAATTTCTATTAATCAAACGCTTTTATTTCATTTTATTTTTATTTAAAAACTTAAAAATTCATTTCTGCTAATTGAACTTTTTCAAATTGTTTCTTTTTAAGTACTAAGAAAATTTGTGCTAATGTAACAGAAACAAAAAATACTAAAAGACTTTGAACACGTAATGGATCTTGAAGTACTATTTCTGCATCTCCTTGACCAAAGCCACCCACATTAGGGTTATTTGTTAAAGGTTGATCCGCTTTAATTAACTCACCTTCTGAAATAATAAGTTCTGGTCCTGCCGGTACAATATCAACAATTTGACGTCCATCTTGAGTATCAATAGTTATTTCATAACCACCTTTTTCTTTACGGAAAATTTTGCTTACTGTACCTGCAGCTGATGCATTATAAACAGTATTATTACTCTTACTTCCATCAGGATAAATTTGTCCTCTACCTCTATTAGCTCCTAAATATATTGGATATTTTAAAAAATTAGCTTCTTTATTAACAGCAGGATCTGGCGAAAGAATAGGAAAAACCATTTCACTATACTTTTTACCAGGAACAGGACCTATTACAAGAATATTTTTTTTATCCGAACTATAAGGTTGAAAATAAAGATTACCTATTTTTTCTTTCATTTCAGGAGGAATACGATCTGCAGGTGCTAATTCAAATCCTTTTGGTAAAATAAGAACAGCTCCTACATTTAACGCTCCTTTTTTACCATTAGCAAGAACTTGTTTTATTTGCATGTCGTAAGGAATTTTAACAACAGCTTCAAATACTGTATCTGGTAATACAGATTGAGGAACTTCAATATCCACTGGTTTTTTAGCTAAATGACAATTAGCACATACAATACGGCCGGTTGCTTCTCGAGGATCTTCATATGCCTGTTGTGCAAAAATTGGATATGCTTCGGAAATAGACGGCCAAGCTATTATTTTCATTAGGATTACAATCGAAATCGATTGAATCACACACTTTTTGATCCAATAACTAATATTTCTGTTTTGCATAGTTCAATTATTTGTTTTAAAAAAATTCATGAGTAGGATATTTAGTTATACTAATAATCCTTATTTACAACTCTGCCCATTATAATAATAATGAATATAATAAATCAAAAGCATTCTACTCTATATTAGTAACTTCTAAATTAAAAAAAAATAATTTATGAAAAAACTAATTTATAATTAAATCTAAAAAATGTACTTTTTTATTCATTCATTGTATGATACGTTGCCACAATAGAAGGAGATATACGATTCAAATGACGAAAAATCCAATATTTAAAAACAGTATCTAAAATAACTGGAAAAGTTGAAACAAAACAAGATATTATATGTTTATTATGAGCAAATCCCAAATGTTCTAAAAAAGAACCTATAACTATTTCCCAACCATGAGGTGAATGAAATCCAATACATAAATCTGTTAATAAAAGAATAGAAAAAGCTTTCATTGTATCACTTAAACTATAAAATAGTTCTTGAATCCAAGAATTTAAAATAGCTAATCTTTGTTTACCTAAAATAAAAACTGCACTTAAAGTAATAACATACACAATATCTGTTAATAAATGTAAAAGAGTATTTAAACTGTTTTCATTATATATTTTTACTAATTGAATTGTTTTTTGATGAATTTCTATATTAAGATCTTGTGATTGTGGTTCTTTTAAAGAATTTACCATTATTTTATCTAACCAAACCAGTTCTTCTATTTGTTGAAGTCGTTTTAATGCTAATTCTTCTTGAAATGAATTAAGAAAAATTTGATATTGATAAGTATTCCACCAATTTTTAAGCCAAGGTTCTAAAAACCAAATTTTTAATAAACTAGAAAATCCCCAAGGAATAAAAAGTAAAAATAACATGTATTGTAAAGAAGCCAATGCTTGATATCGCGCTATTTGGAAATCTTGAAGAACTAATGAAGTTGATTGTCCTGTTAATTCTGTTTTAAAACCTGATAACGTACGCGTTATTGAACGGGGTACAAGACCTATTGATTCATAGGCTGCTGTAGTCACATTATTTTTTTTTAAATCAACAAAAGTTAAAGAAGTTTCGACAGTTTTTTGTTTTTCTTTTGAAAAAAAAGAAAAAGAATAATAATATTTCCACATATCTAAATCATTTAAACTAGCTTCAATCCAAGCTAGTTTTTTATTCATCTGTTTAATTTCTTTTAAATCTTGTTTTATTACATTATTTGAAATCAAATTCGAAAAAAAAGAATTAAAAAAATTTGATATAATTAAGACAAAAGTTTTTATAAAATCAAAAAAAAATAAACTAATTCTATATTCTAAAAGACTCCAATATATTATAAATACACAATTATTCAAATTTGTATTTATATATAACATTATTGCTTGCCAAGATCTTCTTGAAGAAGAAATAATATTTTTATTATAAAAAATATAATTTTTTTTTATATGCTGTATTTTTTTGCTTGCTCTATATGCTCTTTCTAAAGAACGATATGGCGTTCTTAATAACCAAGAATAAATTTGTGACCAATAGAATTTCATAAACACTATTTAAAATTGACTAAAAAACAATATTAAAGTTTTTTCTTTTATATATAAATTATACTTTTAATTTATTTTATTTTATTAAAGTCCTTCTATAGATACACGTAAAAATCGAGCTAACTCTGCTGCTTTTTCTTCTATTTCTCCTAAAGTTAAATTTTCTCTAATGCGTGTTAAAGGAATATCTTGTTGACCTTTTATTTTCATATAAAGAGTACGTCGAGGATAAATACCTTCTTGAACTTCCATCCGTATTCCTTGTATATCTTTCATAAAAAAATTAATACAAATACGACGATTTTCTCCAGGAAATCCCCAACGAAACAAAGATACTATTTTTTTTTTTTTATCAAATTTATTATAACCGCTACCTACATTCCAAAAAATAGTACACCACAAATAAAAACTAAGAAATAAACCAGCAATCCCATAAAAACACATTACAACTCCTTGGGGCACAAAAAGAATTTGTTGGGATGATAAAAAAGGGATTAAATCTTTACCAAAATAACTTGAAATTCCTACGAAAAAAAAACCAAGTGCGCCAAATAAAAGAATAGCTGCCCAACAAAAATTACTGACTCTTCGAGATCCCATTATAGGCTCTACCCAAAGCCAGTCAGATTCACGATTCATAGTAATATCTCCTAAATTTTATTAAAATAAATAATATAATTAGCAAAAAAAACCACATTCAATTTCTAAAAAAAATTAATTTTTGTTTAATAATTTTAAAATAAATAAAAATAAAAAGTTTTATTTTATATAATAATTTTTTTATATTTTTAACTAAAATTTGTAAATTTATATATTTATTTATATAAATTTACAAATTTTAGTTAAAAATATAAATACACTTTTATTTTCAAATTTAATAAATAAACAAAATAAAAAAATAATAGAAATTTTTTATTTACTGTGTAATAAAAATTTTATATTATTTCGTCTTGTTCAATATAGATAAATAAAGAAGCCATTGTAATTGCTGGAAAAACTAAACCTATTAAAGGCACAAAAATCGAAGGTAAATAAGAAGCTGTCATAAAGAATTACCTTTAATAATATTATTTATAGAAAAAATAGTTATAAAAAAATAAGAAAATTAATTATACCGTTTTTCCAAAAAAGATGTTAATTTATTTTTCTATAATTAGTTAAAAGTTATGTAGTATAAATTAGTTAACTTAAAATTAAAGAAAATATAAAAAATTTTAATTAAATTTTAAATAAAATTATATTAATAAAAAAAATTTACCATCTCTATAAAAATTATAACATTTAAAAAGAATAAAAAAAATTTAATTAAACTTTTTTATTAAAAAATAAGTAAATCAATAAAACAATAATTTAATTAAAACAAATAACTATTAGACTCTTTATAAACACCTAGACTATAAAGTTCAAATATTTCACCTAAAACTCCCTTTAAAAAAGTCCGGGGAACAATTAAATCCAATAACCCAGAATAAAACAAAGATTCAGCTACTTGAAAACCATCAGGTATTTTTTGACGTAAGGTTTGTTCAATTACTCGTTTACCTGCGAATGCAATATATGCTTTAGGTTCAGCAATAATAATATCTCCTAACATACCGAAACTAGCAGTAACTCCACCAGTTGTAGGATATGTAAGAATAGCAATGTAAAATAATTTTTTTCTAACTTGATAAAATTGTAAAAGAGATGTTATTTTAGCCATTTGCATTAAACTTAGTGTTCCTTCCTGCATACGTGCTCCACCGGAAGAACATACAATAATTAATGGTAGAGATTCTTTGAATGCATATTCAATAAGACGAGTAATTTTTTCACCTACTACAGAACCCATACTTCCACCCATAAATTGAAAATCCATAACTCCGAGAGCAACTAAATTTTTATTTAATTTTCCTATACCTGTTTGAATAGCATCAGTTAGACCAGTTCTTTTTTGATAAAAAATAACACGATTTTTATAAGAATCTTCATCAGAAAATTTTAGAACATCTCGAGCAACCATATCTTCATACATAGGTTGCCAAGTTCCATGATCAATTAAAAGTTCAATTCTTTCTATACTGCTCATTTGCAAATGATATCCACATTCTTCACAAATACGCTTGTTTTGTTTTAAAAATCTAACATAAAGCATATTTTCACAACTATCACATCGAGTCCATAATCCTTTGGTAGTATCAATTTTAATATATTTATCCCTTTCTCGTTCATTAAGAATGTAGCCTTTAGTAGCTTTTTCAATAAAAGCCCCAATTAATCCACCGAATCGCCGTTTATCTTCAAACCAATTCATTAAAGACATAAATATCTCCTTAATTTTTTATTTAATTTTTATATAGTAATAATTAATACTTTTTAAAAATTAATAATATTAAATTTTTTTACCAATAACTTATACTTTATAGCTAGGTTATAGTTATATAATTATATAATTTAAATTTTTTCTAAAAAGAAAAAAATATTTAAAATAATTAAAATAAAAAAAAAATAATTTAAATGGTTTAGAAGGGATTCGAACCCTTGGCTTTATGGTTCGGAACCATACGCTCTAATCCACTGAGCTACAAAACCTTATAAAAAAAAAATAATAATTTAGTATTATATGATTAGAAAAATTAAAAAATTTAAATATATCAAATTAACAATAAGTAGAAAAGAATACATATTCTTTTCTACTTATTATTAATTGATTTTTTTTTTGCTAAATTAAGAAACTTAGTTTAATAAAACTAAATTAAATTATAAAGTATCAACTGTGTCAAACTCAAATTTAATTTCTTTCCAAACTTCACAAGCAGCAGCTAATTCAGGACTCCATTTAGCAGCTTCACGAATAATCTCATTTCCTTCGCGAGCAAGGTCACGTCCTTCATTACGAGCTTGTACACAAGCTTCTAAAGCAACCCTGTTAGCAACTGCACCAGGTGCGTTACCCCAAGGGTGACCTAAAGTTCCACCACCAAATTGTAATACAGAGTCATCTCCGAAGATTTCAGTTAACGCTGGCATGTGCCAAACGTGAATACCACCGGAAGCTACTGGTAAAACACCTGGCAGAGAAACCCAATCTTGAGTAAAGTAAATACCACGACTTCTATCTTTTTCAATATAGTCATCACGAAGTAAGTCAACAAACCCTAGAGTTACTTGACGTTCCCCTTCAAGTTTACCTACTACAGTACCGGAGTGAATGTGGTCACCACCAGATAAACGTAATGCTTTAGCTAATACACGGAAGTGCATACCGTGATTTTTTTGACGGTCAAGAACTGCGTGCATTGCACGGTGAATGTGAAGAAGTAAACCATTGTCACGACAATAGTGAGCTAAACTAGTATTTGCAGTAAAACCACCAGTTAAGTAGTCATGCATAACAATAGGCATACCTAATTCTCTAGCAAATTGAGCTCTTTTGATCATTTCTTCACAAGTACCTGCAGTAGCATTTAGATAATGCCCTTTAATTTCACCTGTTTCACCTTGAGATTTGTAAATAGCTTCTGCACAGAATAAGAAACGGTCTCTCCAACGCATGAAAGGTTGAGAGTTTACGTTTTCATCATCTTTAGTGAAATCAAGTCCACCACGAAGACATTCGTATACAGCTCTACCATAGTTTTTAGCAGATAAACCTAATTTTGGTTTAATAGTACATCCTAATAATGGACGACCATATTTGTTTAATTTATCTCTTTCAACTTGAATACCGTGAGGTGGGCCTTGGAAAGTTTTAGAATAAGCTGGAGGAATACGTAAATCTTCTAGACGTAAAGCTCTTAAAGCTTTAAATCCAAAAACGTTACCAACAATAGAAGTAAATAAGTTAGTAACAGAACCTTCTTCAAATAAATCTAATGGGTAAGCAACATAAGCAATATATTGATTTTCTTCTCCAGCAACTGGTTCAATTGCATAGCATCTACCTTTGTAACGATCAAGACTAGTAAGTCCATCAGTCCAAACAGTAGTCCATGTACCAGTAGAAGATTCCGCAGCTACAGCAGCTCCACATTCTTCAGCTGGTACTCCTGGTTGAGGAGTCATACGAAATGCTGCTAAAATATCAGTATCTTTAGTTTGATAATCTGGAGTGTAATAAGTTAATCGGTAATCTTTAACACCAGCTTTAAATCCAACACCTGCTTTAATCTCCGGGCGTGGTGACATAAATCCCTCCCTAAAACTCAATTAATAACTCTTGAAAAGATGAGGTCTGCTCGACAAATAAGATTTTTTTATAAAACTAAAAAAACTTAATTGGTATTTAATTTTGTCTAGTTTTAGACAAAGTAATTTTTTTATAACAAAACAGTATTATTGTATATTATTTTCTACATTTGATGCAACTCAGATTATTTTTTAATAATTTTTTTGTTTTTTTAAGCATTGTTTTAAAAATGTTTTGAATGTTAAACTAATTAATAAAAAGAAAACTAATATAAAAGGTTACCAAATAATAAAAAAAAAGTATAATAAACCTAGTTTATAATTAATTTAACAACTAGAATTTTTTGTTATTTTATTTATAAACATATTTATATAATATATCAATATAATAATAAGTTTAAAATAACCAAATACTTTTATTTTCTCATTAACTAAAAATTATTAATTGATCGAAATGAGTCTAACTAACATTAAACTTTTTTCAATTTCGATTTAATTACAATTCAAATCTATATTCAAATTATTTATGAAAAATGATTCCCGTACTTTTGGAGCTTCAACAGTTCTAACTAAAACTCAAAATATAGGACGTATTAGTCAAATTATTGGTCCTGTATTAGACGTTACTTTTCCTCCTGGTAAAATGCCTAATATCTATAATTCTTTAATAGTTAAAGGTCAAAATACAGCAGGTCAAGAAATTAACGTTACGTGTGAAGTACAACAATTATTAGGAAATAATAAAGTTCGAGCTGTAGCAATGAGTGCGACAGATGGCTTGATGAGAGGAATGGATGTTGTTGATACAGGAGCTGCTTTAAGTGTTCCAGTTGGTGAAGCTACTCTTGGACGTATTTTTAATGTTTTAGGAGAACCTGTTGATAACCTGGGTCCTGTAGATGCTAGTACAACTTTTCCTATTCATAGATCTGCTCCTGCTTTTACACAATTAGATACTAAATTATCCATTTTTGAAACAGGAATTAAAGTGGTAGATCTTTTAGCTCCATATCGACGTGGTGGAAAAATTGGATTATTTGGAGGAGCTGGAGTAGGGAAAACCGTACTTATCATGGAATTAATTAATAACATTGCTAAAGCGCACGGTGGTGTATCTGTATTTGGTGGAGTAGGAGAACGTACTCGTGAAGGGAATGACCTTTACATGGAAATGAAAGAATCCAAAGTTATTAATGAAGAAAATATTTCAGAATCAAAAGTAGCACTAGTTTATGGTCAAATGAATGAGCCGCCTGGAGCTCGTATGAGAGTAGGGTTAACTGCTTTAACAATGGCTGAATATTTTAGAGATGTTAATAAACAAGATGTACTTTTATTTATTGATAATATTTTCCGTTTTGTTCAAGCCGGTTCAGAAGTTTCTGCTTTATTAGGTAGAATGCCATCTGCTGTAGGTTATCAGCCAACGTTAAGTACAGAAATGGGTACTTTACAAGAAAGAATTACTTCAACAAAAGAAGGATCTATTACGTCAATTCAAGCTGTTTATGTACCTGCAGATGACTTAACTGACCCAGCTCCTGCTACAACCTTTGCACATTTAGATGCAACTACCGTATTATCCAGAGGGCTAGCAGCGAAAGGTATCTATCCAGCAGTAGATCCTTTAGATTCAACTTCTACTATGCTTCAACCTTGGATTGTAGGTGAAGAGCATTATGAAACAGCTCAAGGAGTAAAAGAAACATTACAACGCTATAAAGAATTACAAGATATTATTGCTATTCTTGGCCTTGATGAATTGTCAGAAGAAGATAGATTGGTTGTAGCAAGAGCAAGAAAAATCGAACGTTTCTTATCTCAACCATTTTTTGTAGCAGAAGTATCTACAGGTTCTCCAGGAAAATATGTTAGTCTAGCTGAAACCATCAAAGGTTTTCAAATGATTCTTTCTGGAGAATTAGACTCTTTCCCTGAGCAAGCTTTTTATTTAGTTGGTAATATTGACGAGGCTACAGCCAAAGCAGCAAATCTACAAATGGAGAATTAATATGGATACTTTTCGATTACGAGTTATCGCACCCGATCGCATTATTTTTGATAGTAGAGCTGCAGAAGTTATTTTAGCTACAAATACTGGTCTAGTTGGGATATTACCTAATCACGCGCCACTTTTAACAGGTTTAGATATAGGTATTCTGAAAATAAGAACTAATGAATTATGGTCTGTTGTAGCAGTAATGGGTGGTTTTGCTATGGTACATGATAATGACATAACAATCTTAGTAAATGAAGCCGAAAATGCAAAAGAAATAAATTTGCAAGAAGCTCAAGAAATTTTTCAATTGACTCAAACTAAAGTATCGCAAGCGGACGGTCGAAAAGAAAATATTGAAGCTAATTTAAATTTAAAAAGAGCAAAAGCTCGTTTGGACGCTATTCAAGAAGGTATTAAAGAAGGTACTGCAAGTTAAATAAAATACCTTTATAAAAGTAAAAAGTAATTAATAAATAATAAATGAACCTAATAACATATTATTTATATGTTATTAGGTTCATTTATTATTTATTAATTACCTACTATTGGATTTGAACCAATGACTCTCGCCGTATGAAAGCGATACTCTAAACCACTGAGTTAAGTAGGCTAACAATATTTTAGCCATTCTTTAGCATATAAGCAATATTTTTAATAATAAAAAAAGAAAAATAAAAAAAAAAATAATTTTTTTTTTATTTAAAAAAAGAATCTTGACAAAAAAAAAGAAATGATGTTAATATCGTATTAATTAAAAATAATAACAAGGACTATAGCTCAGCGGTAGAGCACCTCGTTTACACGTGCGCCAATGCTTTTAAAAAATTTATTGGAGTTTCCAATTCACAATAAATAAATTATGTGAAATAATTTTGTCTTACTTTTCTATTTATAATAAATAAAAAGAACAATAGCATGACAAAAAACTAAATTTAGATTTATTATAATAATTTAAATTATATTTTAATTGATTGATATGGTAAAATTTGAACTTATTCAATGCTAAGCATTATGAGGATGATACGAGGACCTCGAGATATTCTATTTTTTACTTTAAGAGCTTTAGGGTGTATAAAGTTTTAAAAATTAAAAAGTAATAGAAATTCATTTTGAGTAAATCTATGCTAAATTAAGCAAACCTACGTCAACATTAAATTTTTTAAAAAACTTTGGGATTGCTTTAATATTTAAGCACACGGAGCTATTTTAATATTTTAATAAAAAAAGAATAGCAAACTAACTAAATTATTTATTAGTTAATGAAAGAGCCCAATGCAAAAAAAAAATGCATGTTGGGTTCATAAAAATAGTTACAACTAAATTAAAAAAAGAAATCTAACTATTTTACCGAGAATGTCTACGGTTCGATCCCGTATAGTCCTAATTTATTAAAAAAACATTTAATATTCAAATGTTTTTTTATTTTCATTATTATTATTTTTGTATTAAGTTATCTTTAAATTTACAGTTTTTTTATATATAGATATAAATAAATAAAATATTCAATTAATTAATTTTTCGTCTATTAAAAAAAACTTGTTGTTTTCTGATTTTATAGGAGTATATTAATGTTTTTATTACCAAAATACAATTCTTTTTTTATTTTTTTATTATTAGCTAGTGTTATTCCTATATTAGCTTTTTCTATTTCTAAGTTTTTAGCACCTAATAATACTCAAGGACCAGAAAAACTAACTAGTTATGAATCAGGAATAGAACCAATGGGTGATGCTTGGATTCAATTCCAAATTCGCTATTATATGTTCGCGTTAGTTTTTGTTATTTTTGATGTAGAAACAGTTTTTTTATATCCATGGGCCATGAGTTTTAATGATTTAGGCTTATCTGCATTTATTGAAGCTTTAGTTTTTGTATTTATTCTAATTATTGGTTTAGTTTATGCATGGCGAAAAGGAGCACTAGAATGGTCTTAAATTCTAATTATGACAATTATAAAAATAAAATTACTAATTCCATGAAGCCACTTATAAATTCAGTAAATCCGGCCTTTTCTAATCAAGAAAATCCAAATTCAGTAATTTTAACTACGTTTAATGATTTTACAAATTGGGCTAGACTTTCTAGTTTATGGCCACTTCTTTATGGTACCAGTTGTTGCTTTATTGAATTTGCTTCATTAATTGGTTCCCGATTTGATTTTGATCGTTACGGTTTAGTTCCAAGATCTAGCCCAAGACAAGCAGACCTTATAATAACAGCTGGTACTGTAACAATGAAAATGGCACCTTCTTTAGTAAGACTATATGAACAAATGCCTGAACCTAAATATGTAATTGCTATGGGTGCCTGTACTATTACAGGAGGTATGTTTAGTACCGATTCTTATAGTACAGTTCGTGGAGTAGATAAATTAATTCCTGTAGATATTTATTTACCGGGTTGTCCGCCGAAACCAGAAGCTATTATAGACGCTATAATAAAACTTCGTAAAAAAATAGCTCAAGAAACTTATAAAGATAAATCAAAATTTCAGCAAGGAAATAGATATTTAACATTAAATCATAAATTTCATTTTGTATCTAACATTAATACTGGCCAATATAATAAACAATTAGATACTAAAATTTCTAATTCTCAGTTTAATTCAACTTTAGATACTTTTATTCCTATTAAAAAAAATGAAAATTTAACTTTTTTATTAAAAAATGAGGATAATAAAGAAAATATTGAAAATAAATCAAAAGATTGAAAAAAAAAGCACTTAAATATGTTAAATACTTATACAAACAGTAGTACTAAAATACAAGGGCGCTTATCCGTTTGGTTAGCAAACCATAAGCTGCCTCATAGACCGTTAGGTTTTGATTATCAAGGTGTAGAAATTTTACAAATTAGATCAGAAGATTGGCTTTCTATAGCGGTTGCTTTATATGTTTATGGTTTTAATTATCTTCGTTCTCAATGTGCATATGATGTAGCACCTGGAGGACTTTTAGCTAGTGTATATCATTTTACAAAAATAGAAGATAATGTAGATCAACCTGAAGAAATATGTATAAAAATTTTTGTATCAAGACAAAAACCTAAAATACCATCTGTTTTTTGGATTTGGAAAAGCGCTGATTTTCAAGAACGGGAATCTTATGATATGTTAGGGATTTCTTATGAAAATCATCCACGTCTTAAACGTATTTTAATGCCTGATACTTGGATTGGTTGGCCTTTACGTAAAGACTATATTGTACCTGATTTTTACGAGTTACAAGATGCTTACTAACACAAAAATAAAAGCTAAAAAAAAACAAGAAATTTAATTATTTTATTAAAAAAAAAAACAGAAAATAATTAAATTTCGTAAAAACCTAATTCATTTATTAAAAACTTTTTTCATTTCAAATTGATAAGAAAATTATTATAATAACATTTAAGACACAATTCTTTTTTTAGTTACGTGTCTTAAATGTTATAAATAAAATAAAAATATTTATACAAATAAAAATAAATATTAAATGAATCTAGATATAAAATAAGAAAAAATGCCAAGAACCAGATTTGAACTGGTGACACAAGGATTTTCAGTCCTCTGCTCTACCAACTGAGCTATCCCGGCTTGTTTTACGTTGAGATTTTAACATAAATTAAAAGTTTGTGTCAATAAAAAAAGATTTTTTTAGAAATATACGAAAATTTTATTATTTATTAAATTTGGGGGAAGAGGGACTTGAACCCTCACGGTCACTTAAGCCAACGGATTTTCTTTTTACTACAATTTAAATTGTTGCTAAAACTAACATGTAAAATTGGACTCTATCTTTATCCTCACTTTTTAATTTAATTAAAAACTAACAATTTAGTTTAAATTAATTTTTATTAATGGATAAAAAATTAAAATTAATTATATAATTTTTAAAAAATTATGCGTTAGGATAGCTTCCATTGAGTCTCTGCACCTATCTTATTTAAGATAAAAAAAGATTTGGCTCAGGATTGCTTATATTTTTTTTCAACCTAAGTTTCCCTGAATCTGAAAGCTAGCATTTAATAAATTTTTTTACTAAAGCTCAAATTATTTTTTAAGTCCGTAGCGTCTACCAATTCCGCCATACCCCCCTTTTTTTGTTTTTTTTAAATAAAAAATTTGTTTTTTATCAAAGTTTTTTAGATTAATAATAAAATTTTGCTAAGATAGTTTATTATAGCTTTTTTTAAGTTTTAAGGCAATACTCTATAATATATATGTAATATCTTTTTTTTTTCGTTAAAAATTTGAATATTTTTTATCATTTTTAATTATTGCATTATCAAAAATTTATTGATATAATAATATAGTTATAAAAAATTAGTTATAAAAAATAAATAAAATTATTTAATAATTTTTTTTTCTTTAAAAGTAATTAGTTGTTGATAATATATTATTAATAAAGCCTGCTTAGCTCAGAGGTCAGAGCACCGCACTTGTAATGCGATGGTCATCGGTTCGACTCCGATAGCGGGCTTTTTTGTTTTTTAATCTTAAACCTTATAATAAAATAAAATCTTAAAAAAACAATGAAAATTTAAAAAGTTTACAAGTTTTTTTATAAAAAAAAAAAATACTATTTTTTTTTGTTGTATTTCTTATGTTATGATGTTTTTGACTAAATAAAAATATATATAACTTTTTTTTTTACCACAAAAAATTAAAGAAAATTTAAGTAAAAAAACTTTATAAATGGAAAAATAAGTTAGTTGAATATCTTTTACTTTTATTATTAATATTATTATTATTTATTTTTTTATTTGTAAAAATAAGGAGTTTTTATGTCCCGTTATCGAGGACCTCGTGTAAGAATAATACGTCGTTTAGGAGTTTTACCAGGACTAACTAATAAAACACCACAGTTAAAATCTAGTTCTGCTAATCAATCGACAGCTAAAAAAATTTCTCAGTATCGCATTCGTTTAGAAGAAAAACAAAAATTACGTTTTCATTATGGAATAACAGAACGACAATTACTTAACTATGTACGTATTGCTAGAAAAGCAAAAGGGTCAACAGGTCAAATTTTATTACAATTACTGGAAATGCGTTTAGATAATATTGTTTTTCGATTAGGTATGGCCCCTACAATTCCTGGAGCAAGACAATTAGTAAATCATAGACATGTTTTAGTCAATGATTGCATAGTAGATATACCAAGTTATCGCTGTAAACCTGAGGATTCTATTACTGTAAAAAACCGACAAAAATCTCAAGCTATAATTACTAAAAATATAGATTTTTCTCAAAAATCCAAAGTACCAAATCATTTAACTTTTGATTCTACACAAAAAAAAGGATTAGTTAATCAAATACTAGATCGTGAATCAATTGGTTTAAAAATAAATGAATTATTAGTTGTAGAATATTATTCTCGTCAGGCTTAATTAAAAAACAAGACTAATATTATTTTATTTTTAATTAGATATACTTATTTATAATAAATTTTTGTTTTTTTGTTAAAAAAGGAAAGAGAGGGATTCGAACCCTCGGTAAACGTAAGTCTACATAGCATTTCCAATGCTACGCCTTCGACCACTCGGCCATCTTTCCTAGAGTATCATCTCGTAATTTTAAGTCATAAGTTTGTAGAATAGCAAGTTTTTTTAGTTATTTTTAATTAATAAATTAAAAATCTTTAAAATATTAAGTAGATGTATATAAATTTTCATTTAACTAAATTAAATTTATTTATTTATAAATAGCTATTTATAAATAAAATAGTAAGTAAAAAAATTTAATGGATTTATTCTCAAACAAAGGGAATAGTAAAAATATTTCAAGTTATATTTAAATTATGCCTCGCTCTCAAAAAAATGATAATTTTATTGATAAAACTTTTACAATTGTTGCAGACATTTTACTCCGAATAATTCCAACTACACAAAGGGAAAAAGAAGCTTTTACTTATTATAGAGATGGTGCGATTTGATTTTTAAAACCTAAAAAAACTTAATAGGAATTAAAACATAATAAGATTTAATTATATGAAACTTACACTTAGTGAAGGTCCATTTATAAAAAATAATTCCTTCTGTCGTGTACTCTCGATTGATGTAGCCTTAAATGCTTTAATTTTTTAAAAAGTAAGGTATTAAGCAAAAGGTTAAAGCTATAATTTTTTTTTATTTATAAGCATACATATTTGGAAAAGCATTACGTGTAGAAATCGACAACACAAAAACTTCGTAAAATTTTGAAGAAAACTTATTTTTTAATTACTAGTAAAAAATAATTAGTAATAAATTTATGGTTAGAAAAACAAAAATCCATCTCATTTGTAAATTGGGTACTCATAAAACCATCGGAGATTGTCGAAAAAGCTAATCCACAAAAAACAAGGTGTTAAGAACAAAAAAATTTGAAAAATTTTAATTTTATCAATTAATTAAAATGAAAAAAAAAAATTCTAAGAAGGATGGCTAGCTATTTTTTTAAAGAAAACTAGCCCTTGATAACTTATTATTTATTATATTAGGTAAGACGTTTTTTTAACTTTTTTTAAAACTCTATAGAAAAATCCCTTTTTATAAATTAAACAAGAGAAGCCGTATGAAATGAAAATTTCATGTACGGTTTTGAAACAAAGTTTATTCAGTTTTTAAAAACTATTTAAACGATTGTAACGAATGTCAGCTCAATCTGAAGGAGAATATGCGGAAGCTTTACAAAATTATTATGAAGCTATGCGCTTAGAAATTGACCCTTATGATCGAAGTTATATACTATACAATATAGGTCTTATTCATACAAGTAATGGAGAACACGCAAAAGCTTTAGAATATTATTTTCAGGCTTTAGAACGAAATCCATCTTTACCACAAGCTTTCAATAATATGGCTGTAATCTGTCATTACGTGCGACTATCAATATAATAGATTTTTTCAGTAAAAAACTACCATAAATTCTAGAAAAGTGGAGACTAATTACATATAAATCATTAAAAACAGATTTTTATTAGCTGTAATAATTTAAAACTTCATTATAAATCAAAAAATGAAAAAATATTTGAATTAAGTCTAAAAACTCTATGGATAATCTAATTAAATTTGTGGAAAAAGCACCGTAAAGATCAATTATTGAAATTTTGATTTGATACAAAAAAGCCTGTTTACTTATAAAAAATCTCTTTTGTAATAAAGTTGATTTAACTGGTTCTTAAACAGCGGTGTAGTCTCAAATCCTAAAGAGATAAAGTATTTTTGAGAAATTACTCATAAAATACTATAAGAATCTAATTAAAAATAAGATAGTTACTTTAGTAGGAGAAAAGATAAAATAAAAAAAAAGAAAAAATTTCTAATTTTTCTTTACAATTTTATTTAAAACTTATTTCATTAATTTTTTTTTACTCTTTTAATAAACAAAATTTTTTTTTCTTTTTTTTAATTAAAAATAACCTAAGAATATAGTAAAAATTAATTAATTGAGCTGTATGAGGTAGGAAACTCTCATGTACAGTTCTAAGGGAAGATGCTTTTATCTATCCCAACCGAGGAGAACAAGCTATTCAGCAAGGAGACTCCGAGACATCCGAAGCTTGGTTTAACCAAGCAGCAGATTACTGGAAACAAGCAATAGCATTGGCCCCAAGTAATTATATTGAAGCACAAAATTGGTTAAAAATAACAGACCGTTTGAAATAAAAAAAATAATAATAAGAAAATAAAAATTTATATTAATTCAATTAAAAATAGAATTAAATTTGATACGGTCCATTAAGCACCTTAAAGATGTGTCATAATAAATTTGAATACCTGCCCTAGGTAACTTCTGTATTATAGTTGCTCCAGTTTTAAACTGAAAAAAAAGATCAAAAGTTGGATAATAAAATAATAAGTATCTTTTAGAAGTTTACTATTCATTATTGGTGGGTTTTTCCTATGCCTCGTCTGAAGAGAGGAGAACCTCGATGACTATTCGTTCACCGGAACCAGAAGTCAAGATTATGGTAGAAAAAGATCCCGTAAAAACTTCTTTTGAAAAATGGGCTAAACCAGGACATTTTTCAAGAACTTTAGCTAAGGGTCCTAATACTACAACTTGGATTTGGAACTTACATGCTGATGCTCATGATTTTGACAGTCATACAAATGATTTGGAAGAAATTTCTCGTAAAGTCTTTAGTGCTCATTTTGGTCAATTAGCTGTTATTTTTATTTGGCTAAGTGGTATGTATTTTCATGGAGCTCGCTTTTCAAATTATGAAGCGTGGCTGAGTGATCCTACTCATATTAAGCCTAGTGCTCAAGTTGTTTGGCCAATAGTAGGTCAAAAAATTTTGAATGGAGATGTAGGTGGAGGTTTTCAAGGAATACAAATCACCTCCGGCTTTTTTCAACTTTGGCGAGCATCTGGAATAACTAGCGAATTACAGCTTTATACTACTGCAATAGGTGGGTTAATTTTTGCAGCTTTAATGCTTTTTGCTGGATGGTTTCATTACCATAAGGCAGCCCCTAAATTAGCTTGGTTTCAAAATGTGGAATCTATGCTAAACCATCACTTAGCTGGGCTATTAGGTTTAGGATCTTTAGCTTGGGCAGGACACCAAGTGCATGTCTCTTTACCTATTAATCGACTTTTAGATGCCGGGGTGGATCCTAAAGAAATACCACTTCCTCATGAATTTATTCTAAATCGTGATCTTTTAGCTCAGCTTTATCCAAGTTTTTCTAAAGGATTAACTCCATTTTTTACTTTAAATTGGTCAGAATATTCAGACTTTTTAACTTTTCGTGGAGGATTAAATCCAGTTACCGGAGGTTTATGGCTAACTGATACAGCACATCATCATTTAGCTATTGCAGTTCTTTTTCTGGTTGCTGGACATATGTATAGAACTAATTTTGGCATTGGCCATAGCATGAAAGAAATTCTAGAAGCTCATAAAGGTCCTTTTACAGGCGAAGGTCATAAAGGATTATATGAGATTTTAACTACTTCATGGCATGCTCAATTAGCTATTAATTTAGCTATGCTAGGTTCTTTAACTATTATCGTAGCTCATCATATGTATGCTATGCCTCCTTATCCATACTTAGCTACTGACTATGCTACTCAACTTTCTTTATTCACACATCATATGTGGATTGGTGGTTTTCTTGTAGTTGGAGCTGCTGCACATGCAGCTATTTTTATGGTAAGAGATTATGATCCAACAACTCAATACAATAACTTATTAGATCGTGTTTTACGACATCGTGATGCAATAATATCACACCTTAATTGGGTTTGTATTTTCTTAGGTTTTCATAGTTTTGGATTATATATTCATAATGACACAATGAGCGCTTTAGGCCGTCCTCAAGATATGTTTTCAGATACAGCTATACAATTACAACCTGTATTTGCTCAATGGATCCAAAATACTCATGCTTTAGCACCTAGTTTAACAGCTCCTAATGCAACAGCGAGTACTAGTTTAACTTGGGGTGGTGGTGACTTAGTTGCAGTAGGTGGTAAAGTAGCTTTATTACCAATTCCATTAGGAACTGCAGACTTTTTAGTACATCATATTCATGCTTTTACTATTCATGTAACAGTATTAATTTTATTAAAAGGTGTTTTATTTGCACGTAGTTCTCGTTTAATTCCTGATAAAGCTAATCTTGGTTTTAGATTTCCGTGTGATGGACCTGGAAGAGGCGGAACATGCCAAGTATCTGCTTGGGACCATGTTTTCTTAGGTTTATTCTGGATGTACAATGCCATTTCAGTAGTTATTTTCCATTTTAGTTGGAAAATGCAATCTGATGTATGGGGTTCTATCAGCGATCAAGGCGTTGTTACTCATATTACAGGAGGAAACTTCGCACAAAGTTCAATTACAATTAATGGATGGCTTCGTGATTTCTTATGGGCACAAGCGTCTCAAGTAATTCAATCTTATGGTTCGTCATTATCTGCCTATGGTCTTCTATTTTTAGGCGCACACTTCGTTTGGGCATTTAGTTTAATGTTCTTATTTAGTGGTCGAGGATATTGGCAAGAACTTATTGAGTCTATTGTTTGGGCTCACAACAAATTAAAAGTTGCCCCTGCTATTCAGCCTAGAGCCTTAAGTATTGTACAAGGTCGTGCTGTAGGAGTAGCTCATTACCTTCTGGGCGGGATTGCCACAACATGGGCATTCTTCCTAGCGAGAATTATTTCAGTAGGATAATGGCTAGGAGGATTTGAAAGGCATTATGGCATCAAGATTTCCAAAATTCAGCCGGGGCCTATCTCAAGACCCAACTACTCGTCGTATTTGGTTCGGTATTGCTACCGCACATGACTTTGAAAGCCATGATGATATGACTGAAGAACGTCTTTATCAAAAAATTTTCGCTTCTCACTTTGGTCAGTTAGCAATAATTTTTTTATGGACCTCTGGTAATTTATTTCATGTAGCTTGGCAAGGTAATTTCGAAGCATGGGGACAAGATCCTTTACATGTACGACCAATTGCTCATGCAATTTGGGACCCACATTTTGGTCAACCAGCAGTAGAAGCATTTACTCGAGGCGGAGCTTCAGGTCCTGTTAATATAGCTTATTCTGGAGTATATCAATGGTGGTATACAATTGGTTTACGTACGAATCAAGATCTTTATGGCGGATCTATTTTTCTATTATTTGTTTCGGCTCTTTTTTTAATCGCAGGTTGGTTACATTTACAACCAAAATGGAAACCAAGTGTTTCATGGTTTAAAAATGCCGAATCTCGTCTTAATCATCATTTATCTGGTCTTTTTGGAGTTAGTTCTTTAGCATGGACAGGACATTTAGTTCATGTGGCTATTCCTGAATCTAGAGGTGAGCATGTAAGATGGAATAATTTATTAACAGCATTACCACATCCTCAAGGTTTAGGACCTTTTTTTGCAGGACAATGGAATGTTTATGCTCAAAATCCTGATTCAAATAGTCATTTATTTGGTACTTCTGAAGGAGCAGGTACTGCAATTTTAACTTTTCTTGGCGGATTTCACCCACAAACACAAAGTTTATGGCTGACTGATATGGCTCATCACCATTTAGCTATCGCAGTTATTTTTATTATAGCTGGTCATATGTATAGAACTAATTTTGGTATTGGTCATAGTATGAAAGAAATTTTAGAAGCACACACCCCTCCAGGAGGTCGTTTAGGCCGTGGGCATAAAGGTCTTTATGATACAATTAATAATTCGCTTCATTTTCAATTAGGTCTTGCTTTAGCTTCTTTAGGCGTTATTACTTCTTTAGTAGCTCAGCATATGTATTCTTTACCTCCATATGCATTTTTAGCACAAGATTTTACTACTCAAGCCGCATTATATACTCATCATCAATACATCGCTGGATTTATTATGACAGGTGCATTTGCTCATGGAGCTATTTTCTTTATAAGAGATTATAATCCAGAACAAAATAAAGATAATGTGTTAGCTAGAATGTTAGAGCATAAAGAAGCGATCATTTCACATTTAAGTTGGGCTAGTTTATTTTTAGGCTTCCATACTTTAGGACTTTATGTTCATAATGATGTTATGCTTGCTTTTGGTACTCCAGAAAAACAAATTTTAATTGAACCTGTATTTGCCCAATGGATCCAATCTGCTCATGGTAAGGCTTTATATGGTTTTGATGTTCTTTTATCATCTGCAGATAGTCCAGCTTTTAATGCTGGTCAAACTCTATGGTTACCAGGTTGGTTAGATGCTATTAATAATAATAGCAATTCCTTATTCTTAACTATTGGCCCTGGAGATTTCTTAGTTCATCACGCTATTGCTTTAGGTTTACATACAACTACTTTAATTTTAGTTAAAGGTGCTTTAGATGCTCGTGGTTCTAAATTAATGCCAGACAAAAAAGAATTTGGTTATAGTTTCCCTTGTGACGGCCCAGGACGAGGTGGTACTTGTGATATTTCAGCTTGGGATGCTTTTTATTTAGCTGTTTTTTGGATGCTAAATACTATTGGATGGGTTACTTTTTATTGGCATTGGAAACATATTACTTTATGGCAAGGAAATGTAGCTCAATTTAATGAGTCTTCTACATATTTAATGGGATGGTTAAGAGATTATTTATGGTTAAACTCTTCACAACTTATTAATGGATATAATCCTTTTGGTATGAATAGTTTATCTGTATGGGCTTGGATGTTCTTATTTGGACATCTTGTTTGGGCTACTGGGTTTATGTTTCTAATTTCTTGGCGTGGATATTGGCAAGAGCTTATTGAAACTTTAGCTTGGGCTCATGAACGTACACCTTTAGCTAATTTAGTTCGTTGGAAAGACAAACCAGTAGCTCTTTCTATTGTTCAAGCACGATTAGTTGGTTTAGCTCATTTCTCAGTTGGTTATATATTTACTTATGCAGCTTTCTTAATTGCTTCTACATCAGGTAAATTTGGCTAATAATTATTTTTCCTTTAATAAATAAAATAAATAAAATTAAGATAAATGTTTGGAATTAAATCCAAACATTTATCTTAATTTTATTTAACATAAAAAAAGAATAGAAAAAAAAATGAAATAAAAAAATTTATTAAAAATTTTATTCATTTTATTTTTTAACTAAAACAAATATTTTAATAATAAAAAAATCACGGCAAAAAAAAGTCTTATTGAAAGAGAAAAAAAAAGACAAAAATTAGAAAAAAAATATCAAGATTTTCGTCACTCTATAAAAAAAAAAATTAAGGAAACTTCATCCTTAGATGAAAAATGGGAATTTCAAAAACAATTACAAGCTTTACCACGTAATAGCGCACCTACAAGACTTCATCGTCGTTGTTTTTTAACCGGAAGACCTAGAGCAAATTATCGTGATTTTGGCTTATCTAGGCATGTATTACGAGAAATGGCTCATGCATGTTTTTTACCTGGAGTAACTAAATCTAGTTGGTAAAAAACATTGAATAAAAATAAAAAAAAAATACAATTAAAAAACCCCCGAATTATATAACCTTATAATGTTATGTATATTTTAGTTGGGGGTTTTTTTTAATAAAAAAAAATAATTGTTTAAGTAATTAAAACTATGTTATCATGTTTTATCGCGGGGTAGAGCAGTTTGGTAGCTCGCAAGGCTCATAACCTTGAGGTCATGGGTTCAAATCCCGTCTCCGCTAAAGATAAAATTTTTAATAAAAATTTAAAAATAAAGTTTATTTACAAATTTTCTAAAATATTAAACTAAAAAAGAAAAAAATAAATGAAAAAAATATTGTTTTCTATTCTCTAAATTTTTTTTTGAATGATTAAAAGGCGGGTAGCGGGAATCGAACCCGCATATTCTCCTTGGCAAGGAGGAATTTTACCATTAAACTATACCCGCAATTAACTGTGTGTGTATCCAAAGATGTATATACATATATATATATGTTTTTTTTAAGATAGTCAATTATTTTTTTTTTTTCAGTTTTTTAAGTTTTAATAAATAAAAATTAAAAACCCTCCCTAGTAGAAAATATTTATTTTATATTATAATAATAGGACTTGTATAAAATGCTTTTTAGAATTTATAATGTAAAATAGTATATCTAGCAAGGGAGGAAAAGAGATAAAAAATTTTATTTTATTTTTATTTATAATTAAAATAAAATTATTAAAATAAAATTTTAAGATATGAAAGAATTAAGAACACCAACCAAAAAAACTAATCCAACCCATAATGAAGCACCTGAAAATACAACATTTTTACTACTTGACCAACCATCAGGAGAGGCAAGCACAACAGGTACACCAATTACTAAAAGAAATGAAATAGCAATTAATGCAAACACAGCGAACTGGAAAGCAATAGTCATGGTGATGATTCTCCAAGTTCAAAAAAATAAAATAAGTTATACCATTAATCCTTTTCTAGTAATTATTTAGTTACTAAGCCAAAATACTTTAAAAATAAAAAATAAAATTTTTTTATTAAAATTAAAAAATATTTTTTTATTTAAAAATGTTGTTAAATAAGTTTTTAATTATTGTATAATTAATGGCTTTACTTTTTGTTTCATTTAAAAAATAGGAGAGATGGCCGAGTGGTTTATGGCTCTGGTCTTGAAAACCAGCATAGTTTTTCAAAACTATCGAGGGTTCGAATCCCTCTCTCTCCTTTTTTCTTTTTAAAAAAATTTATTATAAAAAAAAAAATAGTTAAATTTTATATACATAAAAAAGGCTCGGCTAAAAAAAAGCCGAGCCTTTTTTTTTTTATAAAAAAAATTAATAACTAATTTATTTCTTAATTTTAATTATTAATTAAGAGGTGTCATAGAAAGAACAGGCTCAAAATCACGATCAATTCCTTTTTCAAATCCAGCTGCAGCTGCACGTGCTCTTCCTGCATGCCATAAATGACCTACAAAGAAGAAAAATCCTAATACAAAGTGAGAAGTAGCTAACCAACTACGTGGAGACACATAATTTACTGCATTAATTTCAGTAGCTACACCACCTACAGAATTTAAAGAACCTAACGGAGCATGAGTCATATATTCTGCAGAACGTCTTTCTTGCCAAGGTTGAATATCTTTTTTCAACTTACTTAAGTCCAAACCATTAGGTCCTCGTAAAGGTTCTAACCATGGAGCACGAAGGTCCCAAAAACGCATAGTTTCTCCACCAAAAATGATTTCTCCAGTAGGAGAACGCATTAGATATTTACCTAAACCAGTAGGTCCTTGAGCAGAACCTACGTTAGCACCAAGTCGTTGGTCTCTAACTAGGAAAGTAAAAGCTTGTGCTTGAGAAGCTTCTGGTCCAGTAGGACCATAAAATTCACTTGGATAAGCTGTGTTATTAAACCAAACAAAACAACAAGCAATAAAACCAAAAACGGCAATAGCTCCTAAACTATAAGATAAATAAGCTTCGCCAGACCAAACAAGAGCTCGACGAGCCCAAGCAAATGGTTTTGTTAAAATATGCCAGATTCCACCAAAAATACAGATAGAACCTAACCAAACATGGCCTCCAATAATATCTTCTAAATTATCTACACTAACAATCCATCCTTCGCCACCAAAAGGTGATTTAAGTAAATAACCAAATATAACACCAGGACTAAGAGTAAGATTTGTAATTTTTCTTACGTCACCTCCTCCAGGAGCCCAAGTATCATATATTCCGCCAAAATATAAGGCTTTAAATACTAAAAGGAAAGCGCCAGCACCTAATAAAATTAAATGAATACCTAAAATAGTAGTCATTTTATTTTTATCTTTCCATACATAACCAAAAAATGGGAAAGATTCTTCTAAAGTTTCTGGCCCAATTAATGCGTGATAAATACCACCAAAACCTAAAACCGCAGAAGAAATTAGGTGAAGTACTCCAGATACAAAATATGGAAAAGTATCTATAACTTCTCCACCAGGACCTACTCCCCAACCTAAAGTAGCTAGGTGAGGAAGTAGAATTAATCCTTGTTCGTACATAGGCTTCTCTGGTACAAAGTGAGCTACTTCAAAAAGATTCATTGCTCCAGCCCAGAATACAATTAATCCAGCATGAGCTACGTGAGCACCTAATAACTTACCAGATAAATTAATAAGTCTAGCATTACCAGCCCACCAAGCAAAACCAGTGGTTTCTTGATCACGACCACTTAAAGCCAAGGTTCCATTAAAGAGCGTTTCCACGTGGTAGAACCTCCTCTGGGAATACAAGATTTTCATGAGGCTGATCTTGAGCTGCCATCCAAGCACGAATACCTTCATTTAGAAGAATATTTTTAGTGTAAAAAGTTTCAAATTCAGGGTCTTCAGCTGCACGAATTTCCTGAGAAACAAAATCATAAGCTCGTAAATTTAAAGCTAAACCAACTACTCCAATAGCACTCATCCATAAACCAGTTACTGGTACAAATAGCATAAAGAAATGCAACCAACGTTTGTTAGAAAATGCAACACCGAAGATTTGAGACCAGAAACGGTTAGCTGTAACCATAGAATAAGTTTCTTCAGATTGAGTTGGGTTAAACGCACGGAATGTATTTGCACCATCACCATCTTCAAATAAAGTATTTTCTACAGTTGCACCATGAATAGCACATAAAAGAGCAGCTCCCAAGACTCCAGCAACTCCCATCATATGAAATGGGTTTAAAGTCCAGTTATGGAAACCTTGGAAGAATAAAATGAATCGGAAAATTGCTGCAACACCAAAACTAGGTGCAAAAAACCAACCTGATTGACCAAGTGGGTAAATTAAAAATACAGAAACAAAAACAGCAATTGGGCCAGAAAAAGCAATTGCGTTATAAGGACGTAATTGTACGGATCTAGCAAGCTCAAATTGGCGCAACATAAAGCCTATTAAAGCAAAAGCTCCATGAAGAGCAACGAAAGTCCATAGACCTCCTAATTGACACCAACGAGTGAAATCTCCTTGTGCTTCTGGACCCCATAATAGTAATAACGAATGTGCTAAACTATTAGCAGGAGTAGAAACAGCAGCAGTTAGAAAATTACAACCTTCTAAATAAGAGCTAGCCAATCCATGAGTATACCATGAAGTTACAAAAGTTGTACCTGTAAACCATCCACCTAAAGAAAAATAAGCGCACGGAAAAAGTAATAGACCAGACCAACCTACAAATACAAAACGGTCTCTTCTTAGCCAGTCATCCATACTATCAAATAAACCTTTTGGTTCTTTGGAAGACTTTCCAATGGCTATAGTCATAGTGATTCTCCTATTCAACTATTTTAATCATTTTTAAGTACCTTATTAAATATAAAATTTAATAATATTTATATTTTTTCTAAATAAACCCTTCTATATTGTACAAAATCTTTTTTTATATATTTACTTGAATTTTTATTCAAATAAATATATTTTAACAAAAAAAAGAGGAATTAGAAGGTAGGTAAACTTTTCTTTTCTTTTTTTATTTATGTTTATGTCCCTTTAACTCAAAAATTTAATAGAATTTATTATAAGAGTAACCAATTTATATAAAATAAAAATCATCAAGTTTACTAAAAAAAAATTATATATTTAAATAAATAAGTTTTTTTAATATTTTCAAATAAAAACTACTTATAGTTTTTTTTTATAGATAAAAAAATGAATACAAACTCTTTTTTATCAATTTATGATGAATACATTAAATATATTATATCAATTAATTTTTTTATTTCAATTTTCATCCTATTTTTTTTTATTTAATTATTTACTTAATAAAAGTTTAACCTACTTAAATTCGTTTTTTTTTATTTTCATTTTTTTTTAGTAATATATAGCCCTTTATCGGATTTGAACCGATGACTTACGCCTTACCATGGCGTTACTCTACCACTGAGTTAAAAGGGCTAACTTTAAATTAATTAAAAAATACATATAAACTAAGTTTGTGATAAAAAGGATAGAATTGTCAACTCAAGTTTTATTAATTAAAACTAAATTGTAGTTTCTATAAATTTAAATTTTTTTCTAAAATATTTTTATCATTTTTTTATAATTAAAAAAATTAAGCATACTATTAACTATTGACAGTAAATAAGGAATTAAGTAACATAAAGATGAGGATTAAGCCCCCATCGTCTAGTGGCCTAGGACACCTCTCTTTCAAGGAGGCGACGGGGATTCGAATTCCCCTGGGGGTATTAGGTATTATGAAAAGACTTTTTTTTGTAATACTTAATATTATTAAAAAGAAAATTTTATATAGAATAATTAAAAAAAAAAAAAGATAAAAAAAAATATTAGTTTTAATTTTTTATCTTTTTTTTTTTTTTTGGGTCGATGCTCGAGTGGTTAATGGGGACGGACTGTAAATCCGCTGGCTTTGCCTACGCTGGTTCAAATCCAGCTCGGCCCAATTTTATAATTTTTTTTATTAAATAAATAGTAGTCTATTCAATAAATTGTTACTAATTTGACATAAAGCTTTTTGAATTGACATAATAAATATGTGTAAATTTATAGGGATTGTAGTTCAATTGGTTAGAGCACCGCCCTGTCAAGGCGGAAGTTGCGGGTTCGAGTCCCGTCAATCCCGATACATTAAATAAATTAATTTTTTTTTTTTTAATCTTTCAAAATGATTATTAATAATCATTTTGAAAGATTAAAAAAAAAAAAGTAATTTTTAATTATTTTTATTAATTATATTCATAAAATCTTCAATTTCATTTTGAAAAAGCCATTTATTTTTTAATAATACGTTTGTCATTTCATTTAATAAAACTTGATGCAAAATAAAAAACTGTAATAAATATTGATAAATTTCTAAAAGAGTATTATAAATCAAAGAATCATTAAGTAATAATTTATTTGTTTTCAACCATTTTTGTTGATTATTTAATAATTCAAAACGAGTTAAAATTTTTTGAGGATTTTCAATTAACCAACGTTGATATAAATATACAGGAGTAAATACTTGCGGGCGTTTTAATTGAACACCAATTCCTTCAATACGTTTAAAAGTTTCAATATTATTTTTTTCAATAAAAGGTAATTGATTCCACCAATTAATAGAAAAATTATTTATTGAATCTCGGCCATATCCACGGCGAAGAAAAAATTGTTTAATTTTTTGACTTGAACGAGATTTTTCTCGTTCTCTTCTTGCTCCATAAGTAACATATAATCTTCTCAGCATTTCTCCATCTATAGATAAATCTTGACGTGAAAAAATAAAATTATGATTTTGATATAATAATCCTGTAGGATCCCAAAGAAACCGTCCTCCAATAAATATAAGAGGTTTATTAGATAATTGCGATTCCATTCGATATTCCGTAAATAGTCGAGAAAATCCTAATATTACAAATTGTTCTTCTAATAAAATATCTTCTAATTGCGACTCTAATTCTTGTACATTTCTTCGTCTTATTCGTGATAAAATTCTTTCATATGGAAGTTGTTCTTTTATTTTATGCTGAATAATTTCAAAAGAATGAGAATTATCTGATGAGCCAGTAATATTTTTTTTATCTGCTTTTTTTAAATTCGATGTAATTTCAAATTCATTAGGGCGGTTTATCCAATTAAACAAATTAGTTCTAATAAAATTAAGACGAGATATTTTAGGAGCCCAAACTATATTACTAGTTAATTGATAAAGTCCTTTTTTAACCATGTGTAAAGGATTTTTTGTTTGAAACTGAAAATTGAAAAAGTTTTTTTTATTAATATTTTTCTCTTCAAATATTTCTAGCCATGAAAAATCTCTTAAAAGGCTTTCTAAAATCCCACAAGCTAAATAAAAATCATTTTCAGCATATTTATCAAGTGAAATTAAATTATCCGGTTTATTTTTTAATATAAACCAAGAATCACGGGCCGCTAATCCAGCTAAACAACCCAAAATATGAGGTAAAATTGTAAATTCTTTGATTGTTGATTCAAAAATAGAAGGTTCTAAATACCATTTAGATAAATAGTAAAAATTTTTTTTCCACAAATCGTTACCGAAATATAAAGGATTTTTAGAAGAATTTTTTATAAATAAATTCTGTACAATGGCTTTTCCAATTTTATAAAACAATATTCCGTAATTTTTTGTAAAATTTATTTTATTATTTATATATGTAGAACCTAAAGTTTGTCTATGAAAAGCTAATCTTATAGTTTTTTTTTGAATAGTTGATTGATTTTGATTAATACTAATTAATAAAATTTCATTAATAAGTCCTGCTAAATCTCGTGCATTATAGCCTATAGTTCTTGATCCAAATTCATTAAGAGACGATTTTTTCTTTTTTGAATAAAAATATTTGCTATATTTACTATATAATAAAATTGATATTTTTTTTTGTCGCTGTAAAATATTAAAAGTTCGAATATTTATTAATCGATCTAATCTATTTGGCGAAATTAAAGCAGGATCCACTTTTTTAGGAAGATGAGTTGAACCAATAATAATTATATTGTTAGTATTTTTTTTACTAAATCCTGTTTGAAAATATTTTAAAAAAATGCCAAGTAAAAAAGTTGGATCAGATTCAACATTTTGAGTTGAACGATTTACATTAAGTTCATGAATATTTGGCATCCATATTATACAAGGAGATAGTTTTTCCGCTAATTCTAAAATCAAATTTAATCTTCGTAAACTTTCCATTAAAATATTTATCCAACTTTCAGTTAGAATATCAGGTTTATTATATAAAAGTTTATTTATGGATATTTTTATTAACGGAATAAAAGAATTGGCTGCTAAATTTTTTACTAAATAAGAGCGTCCAGTTTCTTGTGATCCTATTAATAAAATTCCTTTTGAAGAAAAAAGTCTTAATTCAAGCGGAATAGGCTTTTTATAAAAAGTAGATTTTAAAGTATTAATTTGCCATAATGTATTTAACGAAGTTGCTTTTTGCCAAGAAGATAAAAAAACTAAATTTTCTGCTAAATAAAATTGATGAGACGGATAATTTATTAAATTTTTTTGATAGTCTTCAGTTAAGTTTTCTAAATAATTTTTAATTTTTTGTTGTTTAATAATTTGGTTGCCAAATTGAAAATTTGTAGAATTGGTATTATAAATAAAATTAGGTCTATAGCGATCAATACTTTTATCGGTTATTAGAGATTGAACTAACAATTTTCGTTCTCTACGAGAAAGATCTATTCCTTTATTTTTAATTAATAATTTGTTTATTTTTTTTTTTGTAAATAAATAAAATTTTATATTTTTTATATAATGCTTTGAATTTTTAAAAAAATGTATTAATAAATTTTCTGATTTAATAAATTTTATTGAATTATTATGAAGTAAATTATCTAAATATATTCCACGTGAAGAATCTACTAAATATTGAATTATTTTAAAATCCGCCCATAATTCCAAATAATCTGAACCTAGTAAAATAGAAAAATATTTTTGCAAAATAAAATAACTGAAAATAACTAAACTTATAGTTACTACATAGTGTCTATTCCATTTATTTACTAAATTTAAAGAAAACCATGGTAATTGATTCTCCTTACTTTTATGTTGTTTATTTATTTGTTTTAGCAAACGTGAATTCCAAATTCCAAAGGAATTACCAAAAAATTTATTTTTCAAATTAAAGAATAGATTTTCTACTAAATAATCTAAATTTTTTTTTCTATTTTGTAAAATTGTCGGTAAAATATAATAAAATTGATCTGAAATATTTAATGAAATTTCTAAATATAAATTTAAAAATAAATTTTGAAAATATTTCCACCATTTAAAAGTAAAAAACCATGGTATATATTTTTCAAATAAACTACTCAACTTTAGAGAAAAACTAGAATTTTTAAATATTTTAAATCTTTCCGTTTGTGGAATTAATTTAATAGAATTTTTTGAGAAAGATAAAATTCTTTTTTTATTTGTTTCAGAATTAAACTTTTTATTATTTGTATTTTTCTTTAAAATATTATTTATTAAAAATTTTTCAGAATTTGAATTTATAATAAATAATTTATTAATTTTATTAATTATTCTAGTATTTTCATTTTGAATTTTTATAAAAAATTCAGAAAGTAAATAATTTTCAGAAGAATCAATTGGATAAAAATCATTATTTTTTTTTAACGATTTTTGAAGAGATATATTTTTTTCCAAATATTTTTTTGTAGAAAAAATCGGATTAAAGCTAACAAATGAATTTGCTAATTTATTTAAATTAAAATTATGTATAAATAGTAAATTTTCATTATTAAATTGTTCTAATTTTTCAAATAAAAAAGTTTTATAAATTTTTAATTCAATATTCGAATTTTCGTTTAATATTTTAGAAAAAAAAGTTAACTCATTAGTAGATAAAGTTTTTTTTTTTTTTATAGAGAAAATTTTTATTAATTCTAGATATGATAAATTACTTTTTTTTTTTTTTAAATAAAAATTTAATTTTTTTTTATAATTTAAATCTGAATAGTATAAAAAACTTACTAATTTTGATGTGTCTGCTTTACAAAATTGAGAATTTAACAAAATTTTATCAGACATTTGTATTGAATTAAAATAACTTTTTTGATTTTGTAATATTAAAGAAAAAATATTATTATTAAAAGATTCTAGATAAATTTGATTATTATTAAAATAATTAATTAAAAATTTAGTAGTTAATATTTTATCAAAATAAAAATGTATTTTTAATTTATAGTAAATATTAAATTTTATTTGTTGTACTAAATTAGTTTCATTTAATTTTTTTTTTAAAAAATTATTTTGAATATTAAAAATTTTTGAATAATAAAGTAATAATTTTGAAATATTGTTAAAATTTTCATAAAAAATAACTAGAAAAGTTTTATAAAATATATAAGTATTTTTTTTATTTAATTTTTTAGACCATTTTATAATAGAATTTTTATTATCTATAAATTTTGTTTTATTAGATAAAACTATTAAATTTCTTTGTTTTTTAATAAAAAATTTAAATGTATTTTTATTTTTATTTTTTTTATCAATTAATTTATATTTATTATATTTCCAATAATTAAATATATTTTTTTTTATAATCTTATAAGAAAAGTAGCTTTTTCCTTTTTTTTTCCAATTAACTATTTTTTGATCAATTATATTTTTTGTTATATTTTTTAAATTTATTTTTTTGTCAGAAGAAAAAATTAAAAGTAAATGATTTAAAGATTCTGTTAAATTTTTATAATAATTATTATAAATATATTTATAAGAGATTCTATTTTTAATAAAAGAATTTGTAACAAAATTATAACTTTGAAATTTTTTTTTTAGATCATATTTTAAATAAATTTTAGTTTTTTTATAAATTATTTTATTAACTAATAATTTTTTTTTTAATTTAAAATTTTCATTAGTTTGATAATGAATATCATTATTAATTTTTTTACTAAAAAGTAAATTTTGCTTAATTATTAATAAATTTATTTGATCTAAAGAAATAATTAAATTTACAAAATATTTAATTTGAAATAATAGAAATTTATTATATTTTTCAATATTAAAATGATTATTAATCAAAGATTTTAATAAATAAAAATGATTTGTATATAATTTTAAATTTGTTGATAAATTTAAGTTGTTTATATCGTATTTTTTTTTATAAATAATTTTATAAAAATAATCTGAAAAAATAAAAGAATTTAATTTTTGATAAGTTTTTTTAATTTTACATAATCGAATTAATCTATGAATATCCGATTTTTTTCTATTTCTAAAAAATTTGTTTTTTTGCTGCTTAATTATTTCAAAATTTTTTCTATATTTTTTAGTCAGCGAAAAAGCCATATTTAATTCATCTATAAATAAACTATTTGAAAAAGAATTATTACTAAAATTTAAATTTTTTTTATTTTCAAAAAAATTTGGATTTGTAATATATTTTTCTTCTTCTCTAAATAAATTTTTTATCCAATATAATAAATATTTTTTAAAAAAAGGACTTAAAAAGAAATTTGATTTTATTTTATTATTTTCATTTTTAAAAAAAAAACATAAATCCCAAATTGTTGAATCAATATTTTGTTTAACATTTTTATTATTTAAATTTTTTTTATATAAAATCCATTTAAAAAAATTTTTATTTGATATAAAAAAATTAGTTTCCACTAAATTTAAAGTTTTTTTTATTTCAGTTTTTTTTTTATTTCCAAATTTAAAATTTTTATCAATTATTTTATAATTATTTATTGCTTTATTAGAATTTTTTACTTTATATAAAATATATTTTGTTATTTGATATGAAATTTCTGATAAATCACTATTTATTTTTAAATTTTTTTTTTTATTTTGTAAAAAATTTAATTTAAATAATTTTAGGTTTGATTTATTTTCATTAAAATTATCTAAATCATCTTCGTATTGAACTAAAGAATTTTTATATAATTGCCATATATAAAATTCAGCATAATTATTGAAAAAAAACCATCCTTTTTTTTTTATAAAAATATAGGATTTTACAATCAGTGAATCATTTTCACCCCAAAATTTAAAATTTTGACTTACATTTTTTTTTAATAAATATAATAATTCAACGCTATTTTTTTTTTGATAGGATTTTGAAAACGAAAAAAATAGTTGATTATTCTTTAATTTAATTGTTGAATTTAACTGATTTAAATTTAAAGGGTTTTCTATTTCAAAAAGTAATTTTTCACAAAAAGCAGAAAATATTTGAAAAATTAAACTATTTGTTAATATTTTGTTATCTGTACTTAAATTTAATTTTTTATTGTTTTTAATAGTTTTACAAAAAATAAAATTAAATTTAGTTTCCCAATTATAGTTTTGACAAAGTATATTATCAATATAAAACTCAAAAAAATGTTTTAAATCATCAGTAGTTTTTTCTTTTAATAAAATTTCAACTTTTTTTATAGAACTAGAAGATATTTTCCAACTAGGTAAAATTTGTTCTATAATACAAAGTTTCCACCATTCCGAATCCCCAACTAAATTTTGATTATATGTAGATATAGCATGAATTCTTTTTTTTAAATTTGTTTTAATAATTGAATATTTTTTTTTTTTTTTTAAACTAAGAATTTTGGAAAGAGAATGATTTGTAAAAGTAGAAATATTTTTTTTATTAAAATTTTCCTTTAAATTTTTTTCTTTATATTTAGAATAATTTATATGCCCATAAACTATTTTAACTAAATTTAAATGCTTTTTTTCAATAATAGCTTTATTATTTAAATGATATAAAAAAACTGATAATGTAAGTAATAAAAAAGTCTTTAGTATTGAACTTTTGTTGCTTTTTGAACTATGTAAATCCTGTAAAATTAATGAACTTATAATTCGAAAATCAAAAAGTTTAATAAAATTTTCTTTATTAAAAAAAATTCTAATTAAAAATTTGACTAAATTTGATTCTGACCATACTTCAAAAAAATATCGAGGATTTTGTATTTCTTCCAACTTTAATCTTTTATATAAGTATTTGTTTTTTGATAATTCTTGTTTCATTTTTTTTTTTCACAGCAGTTAGATAAAACTCTATAATAAATAAATTTTTCATATAAAAATTTTGATTAAATTATTTGAAAAAAAAAAATTTCTATTTTTTTTTCAAATATTATCATAATTTTTTTTTTATTTAACACTTAAATTATATATTAATAAAAAACAGTTAATAGTTTAATTAAAAATAAAACTTAAGATTTTTTTATTATTTGTTATTTTATTTATAATGACATAAACAAAAGATTTCGTCAACTAATAATAATTAATTTAATAATAATAAAAATTTATTTATTATTATTAAATAATAAAAAATGGGCGAACGACGGGAATTGAACCCGCGCATAGTGGCTCCACAAACCACTGCCTTAATCCACTTGGCCACGTCCGCCTTGTTTAGAAATTAATTATTTGTAATAAGTAAAAAAAGAATGACCTTAGGTTTTTAAAAACCTAAGGTCATTCTTTTTCAAGTTTTTATCCTATCTTAGATAAGTCTAACTTATAAATTAAATTATAAGTTAAAATTAACCGTTTACAGAAGGAGCTTCAACAGAAGCTAAGTCTAGAGGGAAGTTGTGAGCGTTACGTTCATGCATAACTTCCATACCAAGGTTAGCACGGTTGATGATGTCAGCCCAAGTGTTAATAACACGACCTTGACTGTCAACAACAGATTGGTTGAAGTTGAAACCGTTTAAGTTGAAAGCCATAGTGCTGATACCTAATGCAGTGAACCAGATACCTACTACAGGCCAAGCAGCTAAGAAGAAGTGTAAAGAACGAGAGTTGTTAAAGCTAGCGTATTGGAAAATTAATCTACCAAAGTAACCGTGAGCAGCTACGATGTTGTAAGTTTCTTCCTCTTGACCAAACTTGTAACCTGCGTTAGCAGACTCATTCTCAGTAGTTTCACGGATTAAACTTGAAGTTACTAAGGAACCATGCATAGCACTGAATAGAGAGCCACCGAATACACCAGCTACACCAAGCATGTGGAATGGGTGCATAAGGATGTTGTGTTCAGCTTGGAACACAATCATGAAGTTGAAAGTACCAGAGATTCCTAAAGGCATACCGTCAGAGAAGCTTCCTTGACCAATTGGGTAGATCAAGAAAACAGCAGTAGCAGCCGCAACAGGAGCTGAATATGCAACAGCGATCCAAGGACGCATACCTAAACGGTAGCTAAGTTCCCACTCACGACCCATGTAGCAAGCTACACCAAGTAAGAAGTGAAGAACGATTAACTCGTAAGGACCACCGTTGTAAAGCCATTCATCAACGGAAGCAGCTTCCCAAATTGGGTAGAAGTGCAAACCGATAGCTGCAGAAGTAGGGATGATAGCAGCAGAGATGATGTTGTTTCCGTAAAGAAGAGAACCAGAAACAGGCTCACGGATACCATCAATATCTACAGGAGGAGCTGCAATGAAAGCAATAATAAATACAGAAGTTGCAGTTAATAGAGTAGGAATCATTAAAACACCGAACCATCCGATGTAAAGGCGGTTTTCAGTGCTGGTAACCCAGTCGCAGAAGCGACCCCATAGGCTTGCGCTTTCGCGTCTTTCTAAAGTAGCAGTCATGGTAAATCTTGGTTTGTAAAATAATAATAAGTTACCCAAGTGTATAAACTTGTTAATTTATAGTATTACACAAAATGTATTATTATGTCAACTGATCTTTAAAATAAAAAATTTCTTTTTTTATAAAAAATTTTAATTCAAATTTCATTGGGTTGCCCGGGGCTCGAACCCGGAGCTAGTCGGATGAAAGTGGATGATTTTAACTTTATTTAAAAAATAAAAATTAAAATATCTCTTCCCAAACCGTGCTTGCAACTTTTATTGCACACGGCTTTCTCTATATATTTAGTCTATTTGTTTTTAGTATTTTTTTTTGCAATAATTTTGCTAAAGCATTTATTTGAAGAATATTAAGATACCAAATTTTTTTTATCGAAGGATATAGTTTAAAAAATTTTAAGCTAATTAATTCTTGTTTTTTAAAAAAAAAAGATTTTGCAAAAAAGTTTGATCCATACTTTTTCCAAACATAACGTATAGTACTTTTATGTTTACACGCTAATGTTTTAGCACAAGAAAATCGAAGTATGTATTGTACTTGATATAAGTTTTTTTTATTTTTGCATCCACTATAATAATAAAAAAAATTTCTCCAAATTTGATCAAAACGATTAAAAATTTCATCATCTGTTAAAGTTGTCCAAGCTAATTTACTTATGGGGTGCCCTAAAGTATCACAAAAGTTTTCTTTAGCTAATAATTCAATTAAAGATGATATTGGAGTAATAGAATAAATTTCTTTTCTGCTAATATTTATTTTAGATAAAGTATGTATCATGTTAGATTTAACTATAATACTTTTTGTTTGAATACCAAAAACATATCCTAAAAAAGAAAAGCAGTTTTTAGAAATTTTTTTTAAATTTATTCTAGAAAGTTTAAATAAATAGTAAAAATAATATTGCCAAAACTTATAAAAAAAAAATTTCCATTTTTCTGCTAAAAAATTGGAGTTTTTTATTGCTATAATAAAATGATTTTCATATCTTACATAATGGAAAGACATTTTTTTTTTATAAAAAAATTGTAATTTAATATCTAAGGGTTTTTTAATAACATGTTGAATTTTTGTAATACAATATGTTTTATTAAGTGAAATTAAATATGACAATGATTTAAAGTAATTTAAAGTTTTCCATTGATTTACTAAAAAAAATTCTAATTCATAAATATAAGAATGCCATAAAAATATTGATAATTTAGTTATTTCTCTTTGAGAAAAAATATTTAAAGTAACTAACTTTTTATTTTTATGAAATATTAATCGTAATAAATGTGAAAAAGAAGCATCTTGTATGCGTCGACGAAGAATTCGTATCAGAAGTTCTGGATGAATTAAAGAAGGTATTTTTGTATTTAGAATATAATTAGAATGTAAAAAATTATCTTCTATAAAAGGGAATACAGTATGAATAGATTGATAATTAGTCCATTCAGTAAATTTTTTTACAATTTTTTTTTTTGATTGTACTAAAAAAAAATTTTCTAAAATTATAGCAAGTCCTTCTCGAATTACTTTTGAATAAAAATAATTGTTGTAATTAATATCAAAAATTTTATTATAATTTTTATTTAATTCTTCTATATTTCTTTTTCGACGGATTCTTTTAACTAAACGTTTTAATGTTAAAAAACTAAAATGTTTATTTAAATTAGAATTTTCTATTTTTTTTAAATTAAATTTATTTAAAGAATGATTATAAGCAAGTGCGTAAAAATCATTTTGAAATAAAAGTGGATATAAAAAACGTTGTTGCCATATAAGTTTTTTTTTATTTTTTTTTAGTTTTTCCATTTCGGATAAAATTTTTGTTATAGCTCTTATAATATTTTTTTATAAGTACCTTTTTCAAATAGAAAATAATATATACTGCAATCTATTAAAAGAAAATTAAATAAAGTTTTACTTATAAAATAAAATTTCTTTAATTTTTTTTTGTAATAAAAAAATTGATTGCTCTCCTGACTTAAGTTTTTTTTAGTCAGCACACTGGTGATTTATTTACATTTTTTTTAATAGTTAGGATTCATTTTCAGTAAAAATAACCTTATTTTTAAATATATAAGGTTAAACCTCTTTTATATTGACTGTTAATTTTATTTTAACTTTTTAATTAATACAAAGAATTCAAAATTAATTTATTGAATAGAAGCTCGTTCTTCTGATTTTACTTTTGATTCAAGCATTTAGCTTTATCCATTAATTTTTTCGACTTAATTAAAAAAGAGAAACGACATGCTATTTTTTCTGGCAAATTTCTCTTTGAGATTAGTCGTAGTCTTGCAAACCCTGTCAATGGTTTGGATGAATTTAATATTTCATCTAAATGTATAAAATTCCTTAGTCGCACTTAAAAGCCGAGTACTCTACCATTGAGTTAGCAACCCTTGTTTTTTGTTTTTATTAAAAAATAATAATTTTTTCTTTAATTTTACTAAAAAATTATTAAATTTATATACAAATAATAAATATATAATTTTATTATTTATATATATAATATAAATTTTTTTTAAATAAAATTTGTATAAATATTTAATAGATTTAATAAATATTAAGAAATATCATCATGATTATATGTTAGTAACTTTTTTTTGTCAATGCTAAATAAAAAAGTATACTTTTTTTTTCAATTATTTACTTTTATCTATATATATATATTTTTTTTTATTTTTAGTATTTTTTTAATAAGAATCAGTTTTTTTGACTGAAAATTTCAGTCAAAAAAAACTGATTCTTATTAATTATTTTTTATTAAAATTAAATTTATTTTCTATATAATTTGAAAAAAAAGAAAAAATATTGGAAATATTAACAGAATTTTTGATTGGAATAAAAAAAACTAAATAAATATATAATAAAAAAAAAAAAATGGATAATAAAATACTAACTGAAAAAAAGAAAAAGTGGGACTCATAAACTTCTCCTAAAATATAAATTAAATTTGTTCAAATATTTTTATGTTTTTATTTTTTCAAATGTTATAAAAATTTTTATTTTTATTATTTTTTTTATTTGAATTAAGCTAATTTAAACCTTTTTTTTAAGCACTTAATGCTTCTTTAGCTGCATACATTATTTCAACAGTAATAGTGGTAATATTGTTTTGTCTTGCAAATTTTTCGGTATTTCTTTTAATTTTACCTCTAACAAATCCAGGTATTTTGTTTAATTCCAATTGACTTTCATAATTCCAAGTTAAATCTGTATCTGTTGATAATGATTTTGTGATTACTTCTTTTGTATCATGACCACCAAAAATTTCTAAAAGATGATCTTCCATACCTAAAGTAAAAGAATTATAAATTAAGTCAGCTATTTGATTAGTCCCTTCATAACCTAAAAACGGACGATATCCTAGCGGAAAATTTTGAATATGAACTGGTGAAGAAATAACTCCACAGGGAATATCAAGACGTTTACCAATATGACGTTCCATTTGAGTTCCAAATATTGCAGATGGCTCGATTCGAGCAATCATATCACCTACTTCAGTATGATCATCTGTAGTTAAAATTTCATCACAGAAACCTTGAACTTGTTCTTTAAACCATTCTGTATCATGTTTACAATAAGTACCTGTGCAACCTACACGAATTCCCATTTCTCTAGCAAGAATTCGAGTTATTGAAGCTGCGTGAGTTGCATCACCAAAAACAACTGCTTTTTTTCCTGTTAAATTTTGACAGTCAATAGATCGTGAAAACCAAGCTGCTTGAGAAACAAATCTTGTTTGTTGATCAATATAAGGTTCATAATCAACTTTTTTATTAGGAATCAAGTTGTTTACATGTTTTTGTATTTGTCGGATACATTCAGCTGTATCTACAATTCCCATAGGTGTAATAGATACGTAAGGCATTCCAAAATTTTTTTCTAAATAAATAGCTGTCATTAAACCTATTTCTCGATACGGAACTAAATTAAACCAAGCTTTTGGTAAACTTTGAAGATCTTTTACAGAGCCTCCTTCAGGAATTACTTTATTAACTTTAATATTTAAATCTTGTAATAAACGTTTTAATTCACGACAATCATGCTGATTATGAAAACCTAATGTAAAAATTCCAATAATATTTGCTGAAGGTTCTTTTGTTAAAGATTGATCTAATGTTCCTTGTCTACGAGCTTTTTCTAAATAATAGCGAACTACTTGTTCTAAAGTTCTATCTGCGGCTTGAAGTTCATTAACTCGGTAATGATTAACATCTGCTAAAATAACATCTGAGTTTGATGTGGTAGAAGCTCTATCAACAAAGTTTTGTAAATCTTCTTGTAAAATACTAGAAGTACAAGTAGGTGTTAATACAATTAAATCTGGGCGCTCTTCTTTATCTTTTCGATTTATATTGTCAACTACTTTTTCTTGAGATCCACGTGCTAATACGTGACGATCTACTATACTAGCAGTTACAGGTGTAAAATCTCTTTCTCTTTCTAACATAGAACGCATTACATTAAAATAATCGTCTCCTAAAGGAGCATGCATAATAGCATGAACATTTTTAAAAGAACTCGCTACACGGAGGGTTCCAATATGAGCAGGTCCAGCATACATCCAATAAGCTAATTTCATAAATATAATCTCTTTATAAATTTTCAATAAATAATAATATTATCTTTTTTATTTTACACCATAGAAATATCCCTTGCCATATTTATGTAATTGTCATACTATGGTATTTCTAATACAATATATTATTAATTATTAATAATAGAAATAATTTTTTTAATATTTTATTTAAATTTTTTTTTCTATATTTTTTATATATTTGTTAAAAAAGTCAATCTGGGACGGAAGGGTTCGAACCTCCGAATAACAGGATCAAAACCTGCTGCCTTACCACTTGGCCACGCCCCATAAATATACACTATTAGTAAATAGTTATATTTATATTTTGTCAAGTGCTTTATTTATCTTTTTATTATTAAATAATATTATTAATATTAATAAAAAAAGAAAATAACTCTTGTTAAAAATATATAACCTCTTTGACACTAATAAAACCTATAGTAAGATATACCGAAGAGCTTTTTTTATTAACTAATGAAGTCTTTTTCATTTTTTATTAAATCATTATAATAATTTTTATTGGAGAACATAAATGCTAGCTATATTTAATATTTATCTAGATAACGCGTTTCATTTAAATGGTATCATTTTGGCTAAATTACCTGAAGCTTATGCTATTTTTGATCCAATTGTTGATGTAATGCCAATTATTCCTGTATTTTTTTTCCTTTTAGCTTTTGTTTGGCAAGCTTCTGTGAGTTTTAGATAATTTTTTTTATTACAGAATTAAAATTTTTAGATATATATATTTTTTTTACAACTTTTTTTATAGCTTTTATTTTAAAATTATAGGGCGGAAGTGAAAAAAGTCACTTCCGCCTTGTGTATATATGATATAAATATTTATTATTTTTTATTTACACTTAAAAAATTATTTTTTAATCATTTATTAATTATTTATTAGATTTTAGTTAAAAAATTTTTATTAATTGCAAATTAATTTTTTTATTCAAAAATTTAAATTAAATTTTTTTTTTTAATTTTTTGGAGAAATGGCGGAACAGTTAATTCTATTTATTTTAAAATTGTTTTAGCCTTATCTCATTTTTATGTTAACGGAGGTTCAAATCCTCCTTTCTCCAGTATTTTTAATTTATAATCTATTCTATTCTATTTCTAGTAATGATCCCGGAGATTACGTTATGCTTACTCTTAAGCTGTTCGTTTACACAGTGGTTATTTTTTTCGTTTCTCTTTTTGTTTTTGGATTTTTGTCAAATGATCCTGGTCGTAATCCTGGACGTAAAGAATAACTTTTTTCTATATAACATATTATTAAAATAATAAAAATAATATTTTATAAAATTATTTATTTTTTATAAATTATAAAAATTTCAAGTTAAAGGAGAGAGAGGGATTCGAACCCTCGGTACAAAAAAATGTACAACGGATTAGCAATCCATCGCTTTAAGCCACTCGGCCATCTCTCCAATCAAAAAATCATAACATGTTGTAGAAGTATAAGTCTATACAATAATAATATTAGATTATGTATATTCTTTTATTTATATAATAATAAATAATTTTATTTTAATAAAATAGTTTTAATTCAATTTGTTTTTTTATTTTATGTATTTAAGCCTAGCCAGCTATTGGTACTGGCCAGGTTATATTTTTTTGTAAATAAAAAAAAAAAAGATTAATCAAATTATTGATATAAACTTTTACCTAATCTTAAAGCTAAAATACCTGTTATAAAAGCACTGACAAGAGCTACAATAATTTGACTGTCTGAAATGGATGTCATATTTTTCTCTCCTAATAATTTATAATATAAACCATTAATTTATTTAAATTTTTTATTTTAATTATTAAATTACTAAAAATTTTTAATTAATAGACTTTTTTATTACTTAAATAAAATTTTAAATGAATAGGCTTTTTATTATTGTACAGCTCTTAATTCTATATCGCTATAGATATTTTTTTTTTATTTATTTTTTTTTTATTTTTTTTCATAGAATCAATTGAAAATGGAGAGGTTAAACCAAAATGAATTTAGAGGTTATTGCGCAACTTATTGCTTTGGCTTTAATAGTTGGATCAGGCCCTTTAGTAATTGCTTTATTGGCTGCACGTAAAGGCAATTTATAATTTTAAAAACCATCTCCGGAAATGAAAGAGCTTTTTTTTAAGTATTAAATCTCCGGGGATGGAGTTTTAAGTAAAAAAATTACAGATAAAAAATAATAAAATTTATGCTATAATAAAAATGTAGCGGGTATAGTTTAGTGGTAAAAGTGTGATTCGTTTTATAATTAACTTAAACATAGTTAAGGGGTCTTTAATTTTATTATTAGATTTTTGACCAATAACTTTATTTCTAAAAATATTTAAAATTTTTCCTAAAAAAAGAAAAGCATAATTCCTGCAATAATAAAAAAAAGCAACACGGAATTTTTTCAGCTAAAAATCTATGGATAGAAAACTAAGATATTTTTTTTCGTAACTAAATCTTTAATCAAATAGAAATTAAAGCAATTTAGCTTTAAATAATAAATTTAGTTTACTAAATTTATTTATATTTATAATAAAGCTCGGTAAAAAATATTTTCCTAATGATTTATTTTAATAGAAATAAAGAACGAAGTAATTATAAATTTTTTTGTTAAAAATTTATAACAGGATCATCTATAAAGTTATTTAATAGAAATAAAAAACTAACATAGATGGTATGGATCTACTTAAATATAATAAAAAAAATTTGGTCCATAAAGGAGCCGTATGATATTAAAATTTCATATTCGGTTTTGAAATAGAGGCGATAATATAATAAAAACGTCGACTATAACCCTTAGCCTTCCAAGCTAATGATGTGGGTTCGATTCCCACTACCCGCCTTTTTGTATATATATTTTTTGATATAAAAAAATATATATATATGTATAAATATACACAGTATATAAAACTTTTTTTTTATAAATAACTAAAATTATTAAAAAAAGCATCCATCGTCTAATGGATAGGACAGAGGTCTTCTAAACCTCCAGTATAGGTTCGAATCCTATTGGGTGTAGGATTTAAAAAAATACAAAATTAATATTTTTATTTTTACTATAAAAAAAAATATTTGTTTTTTTATTTAAGGTTTAAAAAAAAAGAAAAAAGCCGAAAAGTTATTTTTTCGGCTTTTTTCTTTTTTTTTAAACCTTAAATAATTAAATTTTTACTTGTCTTCTTGAAGTAAAAAAAGTTCAGTATGTTCTTTAATAGCTTCTTTCAAAATACCTTCCGCTTGCTCTGTAAAGACTTTGGTGGAACGTATTATTTCCGCAAATTGTGGTTTATTAGTAGTTAAATATTCACGCAATTGAACAAGAAATTTTTTAACTTGATCAACTTCTAATACATCTAAATATCCATTTACTCCAGTGTAAATAGTAGCTACTTGCTCTTCTACAGCTAAAGGAGAGGACTGAGATTGTTTAAGTAATTCGCGTAATCTTTGACCTCTTGCTAATTGATTTTGAGTAGCCTTATCAAGATCAGATGCAAATTGTGCAAATGCTTCTAATTCAGCAAATTGAGCTAATTCTAATTTTAATTTTCCAGCTACTTGTTTCATAGCTTTAATTTGAGCAGCAGACCCTACTCTAGAAACAGAAATACCTACATTAATTGCAGGACGAATCCCTGCATTAAACAAATCTGCTGATAAGAAGATTTGTCCATCAGTAATAGAAATTACATTAGTAGGAATATAAGCAGAAACATCTCCTGCTTGAGTTTCAACAATAGGTAAAGCAGTCATACTTCCTTCACCTAATTGTGAACTTAATTTAGCAGCTCGTTCTAAAAGACGAGAATGTAAATAAAAAACATCCCCTGGATATGCTTCTCTACCAGGTGGTCTTCTTAATAAAAGAGACATTTGTCTATAAGCTTGTGCTTGTTTAGAAAGATCATCATAAATTATTAAAGTATGTTGTTTACGATACATAAAATATTCTGCTAGTGCAGCCCCTGTATAAGGAGCTAAATATTGCAACGTAGCTGGAGAGTTTGCTGCTTCAGCTACTACAATTGTATATTCTAATGCACCACGCTCTTCAAAAGTATTAACTACTTGAGCTACTGAAGAAGCTTTTTGTCCAATAGCTACATAAACACATATTACATTTTGTCCTTTTTGATTCAAAATAGTATCTGTAGCTACGGCTGTTTTACCAGTTTGTCGGTCTCCAATAATTAACTCACGTTGACCACGTCCAATAGGAATCATAGAATCGATAGCAATAAGACCTGTCTGCATAGGTTCATATACAGAACGTCTTGAAATAATACCAGGCGCAGAAGATTCAATTAATCTAAATTCTGAAGCAGGTATTTGGCCTTTACCATCAATAGGTTGAGCTAAAGCATTTACAACACGACCTAAGTAGCCATCACTTACAGGTATTTGAGCAATTTTCCCTGTTGCTTTTACAGAACTACCTTCTTGAATAGTTAAACCATCACCCATTAATACAACACCAACATTATCCGATTCTAAATTTAAGGCAATTCCGATACTATTATCTTCAAATTCAACTAATTCACCAGCCATTACTTTATCAAGACCGTAAATACGTGCAATACCATCTCCTACTTGAAGTACAGTACCAACATTTACAACTTTAATTTCTTGACTATAGTCTTCTATCTGTTTACGGATAATACTGCTAATTTCATCAGGTCGAATTTTTACCATTAGCGTTCGTTAATAATTTTTTGAAAAATAAAACTAATGAAAGCTAATCACTTGTGCTTTCCATGGCTCTAAGTAGGCCAATATGATAATCAATTACGCGTGAATGTAATTCGCTATTTAAACGCTTATTTAAAGCTTCTAAAGCTCTTTCTAATGCAAGACGAGAAACTTGTTGTCGAACTTGTTCAATAGCTCTCTGTTCTTCAAAACGAATAGTAGCATTTTTTGAATCTTCTAATCGTTTGGAATCTTCATCAGCAGCATTTATTAATTCTTTTTTTTCTCTCTCTATTTGTGAAAGACCGTTTACACGAATTTCATCTGCTTTTACTTTTGCTCGTTCTAATCGCTCTCGAGCTTGGTTAAGTTTATCAGTTGCTTCATTATACCGTTCTTCTGCATCCTTAATTGTACTTAAAATGGTCTGTTTACGATTACTTAATAAATTATTTAATGAAAGTAGATTATTTATCGAGAATTTTTACGAATTAAAAATCTCTTCCCAAACCGAACATGAATTTTTCAATTCATTCGGGTTTCTCGCTTAGTTAAATAAACTAAGCCTGGCTCTGATAATTTTTTAATTTCTTTGTAATTTTATTTATAAAAATTTTATATTTATTTATTTAAAGAAAAAAAATTAGAAGCTCTTCTGACAAATTTTTTTGTTTTTTTTAATTGTCAGCAAGGTTACTTTTTTGAATAACTTATATTAGACTTTTTTAGGTTGTCAATTTAGCATAATAAACCAAAACTGGTTAATTTTTAGAGATAATAATAACTTATTAAATAAGTTTAAGAAATTTTTTGATATGAGTGTTATATATCAAATTAATCTCCAAATATGCTTTTTTTTATATAATAAAAAACATTTGAGGGAAAGAAAAACCCCAATAGTGCTTAGACTTCAAGCATTTTAGCTTTAACCATTTTCTTAATATTTCCGAATAAAGTAGTAAAAAAAAAGAAAAAATTACTATTTTTACGAAATGCTATAGTTGTTCTAAATTTTATTTAGAAGTTATTCGTCGGAATTATACACTTTCTTTTTATTTTGAAGTGTAACTGGACTATTCCAGCTGTTTTATTCAAATAATTAACCCGCACACACTCCCTTTCCAAAGTAAACTAATAAGCCAACCACCACACTTAAATTAATTAAATTAGTTTCTAAAAGGTTTGTATTTAAACCAAAGTTACCAGCAATAGGCCAATAACCTGAAAAAATAACTAAATTAATAATATTTTTCATATTCTCTCTCCCATTAATAGATTATTTAAGCTTTACAGAATATTTTCTTACTTAGAATTACTCGAGTTTTTAATTCTAAATAAAAACTAATATATTTAGTTTGTATTTAAATTAGTAATAAAAGTAAAAAATACTTTGTTTGCTTTTCACAAAAGTCATAAAAATTTTTTACTAAAAGATAGGAAAAGATTATATATGTATATATTGTTTAATTTAAATAATTTTTTTTCTAAGAAATAAAATGGTTAACCATTTTATTTCTTAGAAAAAAAATTTTATTTAATTAAACAATATAAAGCTTTCAAAATACTTAAATTTAAACAAAAGGATTTGCAAATAAAAGCGCTAATGCTACAACTAGACCATAAATAGTTAAAGCTTCCATAAATGCTAAACTTAGCAGTAACGTGCCTCGAATTTTACCTTCTGCTTCTGGTTGTCTAGCAATACCTTCTACTGCTTGACCGGCAGCAGTACCTTGACCAATACCAGGTCCAATAGAAGCTAAACCTACAGCTAATCCAGCAGCAATAACAGACGCAGCAGAAATTAAGGGGTTCATTATAGTATCCTCTAACCAAAATTAAGAAAAAGTTAATATAAAAAAACTATTCTCTATTGCTTATTTTTATTTTTCTCTAAAAAAAAATTAAACTAAAGCAGTTAATAACTCAAGATGTCTCTTATTAATAAGTGATAGTACCACTAAAAAACTAAATTAAAGTTTTTATTTGAATTTTTTTAATTTTTTATTAAAAAATTTATTAAATAAAATATTATTTAAAAAAATGATTTTTTCTTTAAACTCTAAAATAAAATTTAGTTAAGATAAAATAAAATGATTTCATTTTTTATTTTTAAACTTTTTTTTATTTATTTAAAAATTTTTTGTTAATTATTAAAATTTTTCTTATTATTATACCTCATAATTTTACTTTTAGGATCTATAATTTAAGTTTAAAATCAATTCCATTATTTACTTAAAAAATAAGACAATTATAAAAAACATTTTTAGTAATTATAATTGATACTAGAGATATATAATATATATTTATTTTTTTATAATTTAATGATGACCTTCCATGGATTCTCCAATATAAGCTGCAGCTAGAGTTGCAAAGATTAAAGCTTGAATAGCACTTGTAAATAAGCCTAAAAACATCATAGGAATAGGAACAACTAAAGGTACTAATGAAATAAGAACAGCTACTACTAATTCATCAGCTAGTATATTTCCAAAAAGTCGAAAACTAAGTGATAAAGGTTTTGTAAAATCTTCTAAAATATTAATTGGTAAAAGTACCGGAGTTGGTTGAATATATTTACCAAAATAATTTAAGCCTCTTTTATGAAGACCTGCATAAAAATAAGCTACTGATGTTAACAGTGCCAATGCAACTGTTGTATTAATATCATTTGTAGGCGCAGCTAATTCTCCATGAGGCAATTCAAGAACTCTCCAAGGAAGAAGAGCACCAGACCAATTTGAAACAAAAATAAATAAAAACATAGTTCCTATAAATGGAACCCAAGGTCTATATTCCTCTTCTCCAATTTGAGTTCTAGTTAAATCTCGAATAAATTCTAAAACATATTCAACAAAATTTTGACCACTTGTTGGAATAGTTTGTAAATCACGTGTTGCTAAAACAGCTAAACTTAATAAAATAGCAATAACAATCCAGGAAGTTATAAGTACTTGTGCGTGAACTTCAAAACTGCCTATTTGCCAATAGAAGTGTTGACCTACTTCTACACTAGATATTTCATATAAATTATTAAGTGTACTAATGGAAAATTGTGCTGCAGTATGCATATTACCCCTTCTAAAAATTAACTATGAAAAATAAAAATGAATTTTACAAACATTTCTATTTTTTTTTTAATGTTTTATTGTTTAAACTTTTTTTATTATGTTAGAACATATTTGTTACAATAAAATATTTATTTTTATTGTAATATATTTTTAAGTTTTAAAATAGTAACGAATAATAAAATAAATATTTTTTATTATTTTAAATTAATTACTCTGTTTTTATAGAATTATAACGACCTTCGCTAATAGCTAAGGTTAATTTATTTAAAATCCAACGAATAGAAGCTCTAGCATCATCATTTGCTGGAATTGGTATGTCTGTAAGATCAGGATCACAATCTGTATCAACTAAGCAAATTGTTGGAATACCTAAAGTTATACATTCATTAATAGCTGTAATTTCTTTTTGTTGATCTATTATGATTACAATATCTGGTAAACTTGTCATATATTTAATTCCACCTAAATATTTTCGAAGTTGAACTAATTGTCTTTTTAAAGTTGCTGCTTCTTTTTTAGGAAGTTGATTAAGTACTCCTGTTTTTTCTTTATTTTCCAAATCTTTAAATCTTTGAAGACGCTTTTCTATAGTTGACCAATTAGTTAGCATACCACCCAGCCATTTTTGATTTATGTAATGACATCGAGCTTTTATTGAAGCTGATGCTACTAAATCAGCGGCTTGATATTTAGTACCTACAATTAAAACTTGTTTTCCTTTACTTGATGCATTAGCTAATAAATCACAAGCTTCTGATAAAAAACGAGCTGTTTGAGTAAGATTTAAAATATGAATACCTTTACGTTCTGTAAAAATATAAGAGGCCATTTTAGGATTCCATTTTCTAGCTTGATGACCAAAATGGACTCCTGCTTGCATCATTTCTTCTAGATTAATATTCCAAGATTTTTGTTTCATTATATTTTTGTTTTTAAGTTGTTAAAAAGTTTAAATTTATTTTTTATTTAAACTTAAATTAGCACATTTTTTAAATTTTTAAGAAAGTTTTTTTAATAATTTTTATGAATTTTTTCTGAAGTAAAAGAAATTGAAAGTTTTTTATATAAAAAAATATCTTTTACTTTATTATGAAATAATTTACTTTTATTTTTTTTTAATAAAATATTTTTTTGTTTTTCCAAAGTTATTTGCCAAAGAACTTCTTCACATCCAGTGCCTGTAGGAATTATTCCTCCAAGAATAACATTTTCTTTTAAACCTTTCAGCCAATCAATTCGACCTCGTAATGCTGCTTTTGCTAAAACTCGAGTAGTTTCTTGAAAACTAGCTTCGGATATAAAACTTTGAGTATTAAGAGATGCTTTTGTTATGCCTAATAGTACTGGTTTATAAGGAATTACTTCTTCTAACGCACGATTCATTCTTTTGGCTCTTGCAAACTCAATTAATTCTCCCGGTAAAAAGCCATTAGTCATTCCATCTTCTAAAGTAAAAACTTTTGAAGTCATTTGACGTACAATAATTTCTATATGTTTATCTGATATATTTACACCTTGTGATCGATATACTTTTTGAATTTGATTTACTAAATTAACTTGACTCTGTTCCATACTAATTTGCGCACTTAAAAAGTAACCCCAAAGACTTCCAAAAAAATTTGTCATATCTTTATTCCACTCTCCAAAACCTTTTTCTAAATTAATAGAAACTGGATTTGTTAAACGAGCTTCTAATAATTGTTCAACTTTAGGGAGTCCTTGAATAATATCTCCAGATTTTAATCTTTCATATATTAAAGTTATTAAAATATCTCCTTCTTTAACAATTTCACCATAATTATTGTGAATTATAGCTCCCCCAGTAGCCAAATATGGTTTAGCTAATCTAATAACTAAAGATAAATCGTCATAAATTGCTATAATTTGACCAGATTCGGAAAAAGTAGGATATTCAGCTATAGATAAACCGTCACAAAAGAAATGTCCAAGATTAAATAATTGAGTTTTTTTTTTTGCTAAATCAAAGATAGGAAAAGACCAATTTAATAAACTAAGAATAGTATTTTGAGTTAAAAAGAACTTCTGGACTTTTTTATTTTCGTTTAAAAAAAACCATTTACTTATTTTAATTTTTTTTTTTAAATTATCAATAATTGAAAAATTAATAGGTATTGATTTATCGCTAAATTTTTTACAAGAAAATAGCTGAAAAGATTTTGTAATATTTTGCAAATAACCTAAAAGACCTAAAAATTCTACAAAATTTTTTCTTTTTTCTATATTAAAAGTCTTAATTATTTTCTTTGGTTCGTAAGTAAAAAGTTTTTCTACATTATTTTCTATTTTTAAATTTTGTTTTGTTTTGTCAAACAAAATAGTTTGAAATAAATTAAATGGAGATAAAATAAGAAAAAAGCTTTTTTCTTGATTTTTGTTTGACGGAGTGCGAATAATGCCCCATGTTTTGCTAAGCAATAAAATTTTTTCACAATCTTTTTGATTAATAATATATCTTTTTTTTTTAAATAGATAGTTTAAAATAATATTATTGTTTTTTTTTTTATTCATTAAATTAATATTTTCGATTAAATTAATTTGAAAAAAATTTTTAATAATTTTATTAATACGTATTTTTATAAAAGAAATATGAGCTTCTTTTATAAATACTTTGGTTTCCCAATTTAGTATTAAGCAAGTTTGAATTAATTGAATATCAGTATCAGGATTTATTTCAACTTCTTCACTATCTTCATAAAGAATATATTTAACAGTTTGAATTTTAATTTTTTTTTGTTCTTTTAATAAATCTAGATAAAAAGGTATTGGTAAAGTTAATGGATTATCATTAAATATTATTTTATACTCTATTGCAGGTCTAATTAAAAAAAAAGAATTGTCTTTAGAAAGTACAATCCATTCAAGATAAATCCAATTTTTAGCTCGAAATTGTTCAAAAATTTTTTCCCCTGGTGGTATTAAAATACCATTTTGTTTAAAATTTTTTTGTTTTTCTTTAGGGTAATATATACTTCCTGGTAGTATTTTTATTTTAAAATTATTAAATTTTTTTTTTATTTTAACAAAACCCGTTATTTTACTACTAATATTAAAAGTTATTTTTGTACCTGCTTTAATAAAACTATTATTTTTTACTAAAATAGATGAAAAAGAAGATTGATCTAAAATATAAACTTCTTCAGGAAGTAAAAAAAAGTTACCTTCTTTTAGTATTTTATATCTTGGTCTAACAGTTTTTGTTTTTTGATCTTCAAAAATATCATTTTTTTTATTAATTAAATCAACTTTTATATTGCCATATTTAATAATTCCTGAATTTTTTATTCTATATTTTGGATCATTGAATATAGCAAAAATATCATTTTGTTTCAAAATGCCGTTTTTTGGAAGTTTAAGCATAAATTGAAATAAAAGTTTTTTTTCATATTTATTATTTTTTTTTTCTAAAAAACGATAATTATACAAAATAATACTAGAATAAATAGAATTCCAAAAATTATTTAAAAAATGCTCTTTTAATTGAAAATAATTTAAAGTTTGTTTTGCAATAGGAAGTTTATTATCTAATTTATCTTGATTTTGATAAAATATAAATGAAAACTTATTATCTTTATCAAAATTTCCAGCTAGTATCCATATATGACCTGTTTTACGTAAAAGATGGACATTACTATGGATATATTCAGACGAATGCTGAACTTTACTACTCCAATGCATTTCTCCAGATAAATTTGAATAAATGTATTTTTGAACTTTTTCTTTAAAAGGAGATGTTTTTGCACGAACTTCCGCAATAACTTGTTTTGATTCTACATATTGATTACTTTGCACTAAAAGTAGACTTTGTGTTGGAATAACTAAATTATGAAGTTTTTTTTTACTTTTAATAACAACAGATAAATTATTATTACATATCCATGCAGGGTGTCCATGGCGAGTACGTGTAGGATAAACTGAATTTGTATCAAATTGAATAATCCCATTAAAAGGTGTTCGTATATGTTCTGCAATATCACCGGTAAAAACTCCACCAGTATGAAAAGTTCTTAATGTTAACTGGGTACCTGGCTCTCCAATAGATTGCCCCGCAATAATACCAACAGCTTCACCTAATTCTATTAAATTACCATGAGTAAGACTCCAACCGTAACATAATTGACAAATCCATAACATACTTTTACAAATTAAAGGTGAGCGAATAAAAATACCTTTTCTTTGAAAATTTATTAAAGAAATAACAAGATTTGTTGTAATATCTTGATTACGAATAGCAATACATCTTCCATTTATATAAATATTATCTGCTAAAATACGACCAATTAATTTATTATTTTTTTTATAATTATTCTGTAAAGGAGTTACAAAAATATTTTCTGACGTTCCACAATCCACTTTTCGAACGACAATATGCTGAACTACTTCAACTAATCTACGTGTAAGATATCCAGCATCTGATGTTCGTACTGCTGTATCAACAACTCCTTTACGAGCACCATAACAAGAAATAATATATTCAGTTAAAGAGAGGCCTTCTCGAAAGTTACTTTGAATAGGTAAATCAATAATTTGACCTTGAGGATCTGACATTAAACCTCTCATACCTACTAATTGATGAACTTGTGATGTACTCCCTCTCGCTCCAGAAAAAGACATCATATGTACTGGATTTAACGGATCGGTCATCCGAAAATTAGGGTTCATTTCTTGTTTTAAATATTCACTTGTAGCATACCAAGTTTCAATTAATTGGCGTAATTTTTCTACTGCATGAACGTTTCCATAACGATAATGCTTTTCAGAAATGTAACCTTGTTGTTCGGCATCTTGAATTAACCAACTTTTTGAAGGTGCTGTTAAAAGATCATCAATTCCTAATGAAATAGCAGCTTGAGTAGCTTGTTTAAAGCCTACAGTTTTAAGTTGATCTAAAATATATGTTGTATATGTAATACCAAAATGAGTTATTAATCTGCTTATAAGCTGTTTTATGGCAGTTCTATCCATCACTTTATTATAGAAGAGCATTTTGGTTATTTTTGTTATAATAAAAAAAATTTATTGTTATAAGTAGGATATACCAATAGATTACGTCATTTTTTTTCTATGACTTTTTTCATTTTTATTTAAATGAATATTATATGAATATTATATAGTTATAGCTGGTAAAGATTGATTTCGAAATAGCGAAGCTTTTAAAGTACCTTGAATAGCTTCTTCTATTTGTTGATTAAAGATAATACGGCCAACGGTTGTGCAAATGTAAACACTAAAATTTTTTTCGTTTTTGTTTTTTTTTAATTGATAATGCTCATAAATTTTGAAAGAAATACCTGAAGAATTATATTGAACTTCAATAGGTTTTTCACGATTTATTGAAGTAATTGTTCGTAATTTACTTCCCCACCAAAGCCATAAAGCACTATGTAATCTCACTTTTTTTTGGTTGTAAGCTTTTATTACGTCATCATAACTAGAAAAATAAGGAGTTTTATTTAAAAATATTTTATTATTATTTTGCTTATAAGGATGGTTTTTATTACCATAGATACCTTGATGATTTTTAATTGTTAGTATGTATAGTCCAAGAAGCATATCTTGACTTGGTACAGAAACAGGATCTCCTGTAGCAGGGGACAAAAGATTTGTATGAGAAAACATAAGTAAGCGTGCTTCGGCTTGCGCTTCTAAAGATAATGGTATATGAACAGCCATTTGATCTCCATCAAAATCTGCATTAAACCCTCCACAAACTAAAGGATGTAATCGAATAGCGCGACCTTTTATTAAAATTGGTTGAAAAGCTTGTATACCTAACCTATGTAAAGTGGGTGCTCGATTTAACAAGACGGGGTGTCCTTGCATAATTTCCTGCAAAATTTTCCATATAATGGGCTCTTTATTTTGGATCATACTTTTAGCAGCTCTAAGATTAGGAGCAAGATGGCGTCCAATTAAACCGCGAATAACAAAAGCTTGAAATAGTTCTATTGCCATTTCACGTGGTAATCCACATTGATGTAATGAAAGAAAAGGGCCAACTACAATAACAGAACGGCCTGAATAATCAACTCGTTTTCCTAACAAATTTTCACGAAAACGCCCTTCTTTTCCTTCTATAACATCAGAAAAAGATTTATAAGGTCTATTATGACTATCTTTCATAGGTTGACCTCGAATACCATTATCAATAAGACCGTCTACAGCCTCTTGTACTAGCCTAATTTGACAAACAACTAAACCACCTGGTGTAGAACCACTTCTAGCTAAAAAATCAATAAGAGTATTATTTCGATAAATAACTCTTCTATATAATTCATTTAAATCAGAAGTAATTAATTCCCCTTCACCTAATTCAATCATAGGTCGTAATTCAGGAGGAAGAACTGGCAGTAATGATAAAACCATCCATTCTGGCTTTATATTTGTTTGAAGAAATTGCTTAGCTAATTTTATACGTCTAACTAAAAGATCTTTTCTTCTTTGAATTTTTCGATCTTCCCATTCATTTCCTGTAGATTTTTGTTCTACTAGTTCTTTCCATTCTATATATGCATAATCTAGCACTCCTTGAAGATCTAAATTACTTAATTGTTTTTTAATAGCATCTCCACCCGTCGCAATTTCTTTATTTTGAAATGCTTCAAATCCACGCGAAGAAAAATAACGAGGAAAAATTTCTCTCCAAGATTGATCTTCATATTTAAATAAACCTCGTAATTTTAATAAAATTGGTTTTTTTGAAATAGGTCTAGCAAGAAAAAGATTGGGATAGATTCTTTAGAATTCCCCCTGAGAATCGGACATGAAACTTTTTTTTCATCCGGCTCAAATAGTACTAATAATATAATTATTATATTAATATATATAAAAAAATATATAAATAGTTATATATTTTTTATATAAAAAAATATTTCTATATATATTAATAATATAAATATATGTAAGTTTATATTTAAAATAGAATTAGAATTACATATAAAATACATATATCTATATATAAAAAAAAAAGTTACTTTTTTTTTTATATAAATCAGCTATTTATTACTCAAGTAATATTTTTTAATTAATTAATTTTTTATTTTTGAGTAATCTTACTTTCTTTAAATGATATATTTTTTTGCAAAAATACCTCCAAAATTTTTTGGAATTATTAAGAAATTATCTTGTTTATATTTATTTATTTTTTAGCAATCCTTTAGGTTTTTGTTCTATTTCGATGGTTATGATATATTTAATACATTTATATACGATGAATAAATTATAATATCCATTTTTAAACTAATATAATAATTTTTTTACTAAATTTTATTTTTTTACGAAATCTCTAAATCACAAACAAAATATATATTATATAAAATATAAATATATATAAATAAAAACCCTAGATTAATATATTTTAGTAGCAGTAAATTTGCTATATTTTTTGAGTTTTATGTTTTTTTTTTACAACATATCAAAATTAAAAAATATCTTACTAAAAAAATAAGATAACAGGTTTAATTTACTCTGTAGAATTCAAATTTATAAACAAGTCACACATCGCAATATACTAGACTTTCTAATTCTTTAAGAGGTTTAGCTAAAAGATTTGCAATATAACTAGGTAAACGCTTTAAATACCATACATGCGTTACTGGACATGCTAGTTTAATATATCCCATTCGATATCTTCGAACGCGAGATTCAACAAATTCAACGCCGCATTGTTCACAAAATTTTGAATATTTTTCAATTATTTGATACTTTCCACAAGCACAAATTCCACTTTTAATTGGACCAAAAATACGTTCACAAAATAATCCATCTTTTTCAGGTTTATGTGTTTTATAATGTAAAGTATATGGTTTTGTGACTTGTCCTACGATTTCTCCATTTGGTAAAACTCTTTCAGCCCAACTACGTATTTGTTCAGGTGAAGCTAATCTAATTCGAAGATGGTGATACTTTTCTCGATGAATCATAAAATAAAATTTATTTTTTTATATTAAACATCCTTGAATTTTATATTTAAGTTTTTTTCAAAGATAACGGCATGATCTAATTCTAAAGATAAAGAGCGTAATTCGCGAACAAGTAATAAAAAAGATTCTGGAGCAGTTTTAGGTTTAGGTATTGGTTCTCCTGTTATAATGGCACCAAGTACTTCATAGCGTGCATGAATATGGTCAGACTTAATAGTAAGCATTTCTTGCAAAATATAAGCAACACCAAATCCTTCTAAAGCCCAGACTTCCATTTCCCCGACTCTTTGTCCTCCTCGTCTGGATCTACCTCTAAGAGGTTGCTGAGTAACAAGCGCATAAGGCCCACTAGAACGTGCATGAATTTTATCATCAACTTGATGAATTAATTTTAGCATATAAGCTTTTCCTACTGTAACAGCTTGCTCAAAGATTTCGCCAGTTCTTCCGTTTAGTAAACGACTTTTCCCAGGGTTTTCAGGTTCAAATAACCAAAGGTTTCCTGTTTTTTTACTAGCTTTATAAAGTTCAGAAAAAACTAATTTTCTTGAAGCTTCTCGTTCATATTTTTCATCAAAAGGAGTTATTCTATAATGTTTTCCTAAAAAATAACCAGCTAAGCCAAGTAAACATTCAAAAATTTGTCCTACATTCATACGTGATGGTACTCCTAAAGGACTTAATACCATATCAATAGGCGTTCCATCTTGTAAATAAGGCATATCTTGTCTAGGTAAAATCTTTGAAATAATACCTTTATTTCCATGTCTTCCAGCTACTTTATCTCCGACTTGTATTTTTCGTTTTTGTGCTATATAAACATGGATTATTTTTTCATAATTACTCGAATTTTCTTTTTTAGAAATCCATATTACATCAATAACTCGGCCTTTTCCATTTAAAGGAACTTTCAGGCAAGTCTCTTTTGCGTTAGTTACTTGAATACCAAATATAGCTTGTAATAATTTTCCTTCTGGAGCACGTAAAGATTCTTCTGTTTCTTGAGGTGTTAATTTTCCTACTAAAACATCCCCTGTTTCTACCCATGATCCTGGTATTACAAGTCCGTTTTTATCTAAATGACGGAGTACACTATTTTCTAAATGCGGTATTTCTTTAGTAATTTTTTCAGGGCCTTGATTTGTATTTCGAGATTCTATTTCATATCTTTCAATATGAATGGATGTGTAAATATCTTCATAGATTAAGCGTTCGCTAATAAGTATTGCGTCTTCAAAATTATAGCCTTCCCATGGCATATATGCTACTAAAATATTTTTTCCTAAAGTTAATTCTCCTTTTAAAATAGCTGCACCATCCGTTAAAACTTGCCCTTTTTTTAAAAATTTTTTTGAAATAACTTGCGGTTTTTGATGTATACACGTACTGTTGTTAGAACGTTGATATATAATTAAATGTGTATTAACAGTTTCATTAGTATTATTAAGTAAACTTATTTTTTTACCATCAGTATACATTATTTTTTCACTTTGTTTTGTAATCATTACGTTTCCGGAATCTAAAGCAACTTGACTTTCTAATCCTGTTCCTACAATACATTTTTCAAGTTTTATAAGTGGAACAGCTTGACGTTGCATATTAGAACCCATTAACGCACGGTTTGCATCATTATGCTCTAAAAATGGAATAAGTGAAACCCCAACAGAAAAATATTGTAAAGGATAAATACTTCGAAGATGTATTTGTTCCCAAGCAATAGCCAAAAATTCTTGTCGATAGCGAGCTGGAGTTATTTGTATTTTTTGAGTCCCTTGGTCTAAAGCCAAACAATTTCCTGTAGCTATTCGATAATATTCGTCTTCTCCTGCAGATAAATTAATAATTTTTTCTTCTTTAACATTTTTAGAGATTTTATAAAAAGGACTTTCCAAAAATCCCCAATTATTTACGTTAGCATGAATTGCTAATGACGCAATAAGTCCAGCATTCATACCTTCAGATGTCTCAATAGGGCAAATTCGAGTATAATGACTAAAGTGAATATCACGTACTTGAAAACCGGCTGTTCGTCTTGTTACTCCGCCAGGACCTAGCGAGCTTAATCTTCTTTTATGAACAATTTCCGCCAATGAATTGGTTTGATCGAGAAATTGGGATAAAGGATGTGAGCCAAAAAACTCTTTAAAAGTAGCAATTAATGGTGTTTGAGTAATTAAATTTTTAGGACTAAGTAAGCGTTTTCTTTTAGTTGTTCTACGCATAACTTGTCGTACTGAATTTTCTAAACGTATTAATGCTAATTTTAATTGATCTTGCAATAAATCGGCTACAGAGCGGATACGACGATTTTTTAAATGATCTATATCGTCAAGTGTACCAATACCAAATTTTATTTTTATTAAATAATCTATAGCAGCTAAGATATCTTGCGGTAATAAAAAAAATTCATTTTCAGGTATATCTAAACTAAGTTTTTTATTTACATTTAATCGGCCAATTTTTCCTAACTCACATCTTTGCTGAAAAAATTTTTTTTGCAATTCTTTACGTATAGATTCAGAAAATAAAAGGTCTCCTCCGATATAATATAATTGTTTATAAAGTTCTACCATAGCATCCTCAGTAGATTGAAGATGCTCCTTTTTTTTTTTTTTTTCTTTTAAAAAATCTAAAAAAATTTTTGAAGAACAAACACTATCTAAAATCTGTTTTATAGTTAAGCCCATAGCTAATAATAAAACTAAAATAGAAACTTTTCGTTTTTTACTTATACGGGCCCAAATTCTTGTTTTGCTATCAATTTCTAACTTTAATCTCCCTCCCCAATCAGAAATAATTGTACCTGTATATATAGAAATTCCATTATGATCTAATTCAGAATTATAATAAATACCTGGACTTCGTAAAATTTGATTAATTATTACTCTTGTAACACTATTAATTCTAAAAGTACTTTGATAATCTATTAAAGGAATACTTCCAATGAATATAGTTTGTTTTTGAATTTCTATTTTTTTTTTTCGACGAAGCAATCGACATGTAACATATAAATCAGAAGAATATGTATTATAGTGAAATTTAATAGTAGTTTTTTCTGGTTTTATTAATTTATATTCTTTATTTAATAATTCAAATTGAAATTCTTGATTTAAATCAAAAATTTCAGGAAAAATATTTAGTTCAGAAATTAAATTTTTATAAATAAAATAATAATAACTTTTAAATTGAATTTGTCTTAATTCAGGAAGTGAAAATTGAAATTCAGATAAAAATGAAAATTGAGATGGGGGGGGAGCTGAAAGTGTAATAATTTTTTTCATAAATTATTTAAATTTAATCATAAATATAAATATTTTTATAATTGATAAAATTGAAAAATTATTATGATATTAAAAATATATTTATATTTTATTTTCTAAACTTTTTTATATTATATATCTAATAATATTTGTTAAATAAATGTTTATTAAATAATAATTTATTAGTTTAATTTATTTAATTTAATAAATTATTATTTATTTTTTTGATTAATCTTAAAATTTAAACACGTCGTTTTTTCGGAGGTCTACATCCATTATGTGGCATAGGAGTTACATCACGAACAAAATTTAAAATAACACCACTTCGGCGAATAGCACGTAATGCTGTATCTCGCCCTGGACCAGGACCACTTATCATAACTTCAGCTTGTTTCATACCTTGATCAATTAAAACACGAATAGCATTTTCTGCGGCAGTTTGAGCTGCAAAAGGGGTACTTTTTTTTGCACCTTTAAAACCACAAGCACCCGCAGAAGACCAAAAAACGACTTGTCCACGTATATCTGTTACAGTAACAATAGTATTATTAAAACTTGCTTGAATATGAATAACTCCTTTAGGTATTCTACGTTTACCTTTACGTAAACTAATTTTTTTTATTAATTTTGCCATAATTAGTATTGTTATTTATTTATTTTAAGAAAATTTAAAATATTTTAATATATACACATTGATATTTTTACAAATAAACATATATAAAAAATATTTAAATAAATTTTTTAATTTTTATTAAATTTATTTTTAATAAAAATTTATCCTTGTCTTTGTTTATGTTTTGGATTAGAACAAACTACCATAATTCGTTTTCGTCTACGAATTAATCTACAATTATCACAAATTTTTTTAACAGAAGCACGAACTTTCATTTTTATATTCCCTATTTTAATGTAATCTATAATATAAAAAATGCAAATATTTTTATATTAAGTTTTTTTAATTAATTATTAAATTTTTAAGATTTATAATTTAAAAAAAAAAAGTTTAACTATTTGAAGATTTAGCGCGAAGACGATATGTTATGCGTCCTTTAGTCAAATCATAAGGAGTTAATTCTACTTTAACTCGATCTCCTGGTAATATTCTGATATAATTACGTCTTATTTTTCCTGAAATATGAGTTAAAACTTCACACCCATTGTCTAAACAAACTCGAAACATTGCATTAGGAAGTGATTCAGTAACTACACCTTCCATATCAATCAAATTTTGTTTCTTCATTAACGGGAAAATCTCCTTTTTTAATTTAACTAACATTAAGAAATATAGTACTAGCTAGCTTTTTTATTTACAAAGATTTTCCTATATAAAAAATTTAAATAAAATGTAAATAAATTACCATACATAACATAAAATTTCTCCTCCAATTTTTTTTTCTCTTGCTTCTCGATCGGTCATAATTCCTTCAGACGTTGAAAGAATAACAATTCCCATCCCACCTAAAACTTTTGGAATTTCTTTATGATTAGAATAAATTCTTAAACCTGGTTTACTAATACGTCGTAAAGTTGTTATATAAGGCTTTTTTTTTTTTCCTTGATATTTCAAAGTAAAAATTAAAAAACAATTTTTACTTTCTTCGTGTTCTCTAAAATTTTCTATAAATCCTTCTTGTAATAAAATTTTTCCAATATTTTTAGTAATATTAGTTGCTGGTACTTGAACTGTTTTTGTTTTTTCTAAGTTGGCATTTCTTATAGATGTAATCATATTAGCAATGGTATCGTTACCCATAAAACTCCTTTTTACTATTAATATAACTAAGCTTTTTAAATTTATTAAAAAAGCTTCTAAGACAAAAAAATAATTTTAGTTTTTTAGAAATTTTTTTGCTAATTCTAAAATAAAAGTAGTTTAAAATCAAAACAATTAAAAAAATTAAGTATATAAAAGATATATATATATATATAATATTTATAAAAATAAATTTAAAAATAAAAAAAAAATAAATTTATTTTAAAAGATAAAATAATTAAAAAACATAAATATTGAATATACAAATAAACATATATATATAATTTTATTTTTTTTAGTTAAATTAATTAAATACTAAGACAATACTAAAGTTTAATATACCTTTTTTTATAATACTTCAGGTGCTAACGAAACTATTTTAGTAAAATTAGATTCACGTAATTCTCGTGCAACAGGGCCAAAAACTCGAGTTCCTTTAGGATTTCCTTCTTGATTAATAATAACTGCAGCATTATCATCAAATTGTATAATAGTTCCGTTTTTACGTTTAAGTTCTTTACAAGTTCGTACAACAACTGCTCGAACTACTTCTGATTTTTTTAATGGCATATTTGGTATTGCTTCTTTAACTACGGCAATAATAATATCACCAATATGTGCATATTTACGATTACTTGCGCCTAAAATTTGTATACACATTAATTTGCGCGCTCCACTATTATCAGCTACATTTAAATAAGTTTGAGGTTGAATCATTTTTTTTTTTATTTTAGCCCCTTAAAAAAAAGTAAAAAATTTTAAGGGGGGATATATTTAATAAATAAAATATTACTAATTTTCAATATTTGTATAATTATTGTGTTTTTTTTTATTTAACGTTATATATAAAAAGTAGTTATATTTAATTTTCTTTATTTTTTTATACAGATGTAATAGCAGTAATAAATTGAGTACGAATAGGCATTTTATAAGCTGCAATTCTCATAGCTGCTCTAGCAACACTTTCAGGTACTCCGCTTATTTCATATAATATTCTACCTGGCTTAACAACAGATACCCAATATTCTGGTGAACCTTTTCCTGAACCCATACGTGTTTCAGCAGGTCGCATAGTAATAGGCTTATCTGGAAATATACGTATCCATAATTTTCCACCACGACGTGCATAACGTGTAATTGCTCGTCGTCCGGCTTCTATTTGTCTTGATGTAATCCAAGATGGTTCAAGTGCTTGAAGAGCAAATTTACCAAAAGCAATAGAATTACCTCGAGTAGCTATTCCTTTCATCCTTCCTCTATGTTGTTTACGAAATTTTGTTCTTTTAGGGTTATAGTCGACGTTTTTATTATATTATCGCCTCTATTTCAAAATCGGACATGAAATTTTTTTTTCATCCGGCTTCTTGTGAATAAATTTATTTTAATTATTATTTTATTTAATTTATATTAGTTATTTTTTTTTATATAACAATAAAATTGAATATAAAAATAAAATTTTATTATAAATTTCACAGGCAAATATTAATTTATTTAAAAGTATTTTTTTTTTTCTTTTAAATTTTCTTTTTTTTGCCATCCTATCTACTAATTAAATATTTTTCTTAATTATTTTTCATTTTTATTTAATTATAGATTACATCGTTTTTATTACTTCTAACTATACGTTTAGGTTTTTTTATACAGTGAAGTTTTTTTATTATTTTTCATCAAATTTCTTAGTCTTTTTTGATGTAAAACTTTTCTTATTAAAATTTAAATATAATTTATTTTTTTTTTTTATTTTAAAAGAAATTATTTTATTATGTGTTATTACACTGCTTTTTTTTTTTTTAATTAAATTTAACCATACGATTTTAATAATAATATATTATTGAGTTTTTTAATTATAAATTCTTTTTTACTTCATAAATTATTTTATGAAAAAAGTTTTTAAATGAATAATTTTATTATTTATTAATTCATTTACCGAATTATTTCAATAAGAAGTAAAAAATTAATTTCTAGTTTAACTAGAATTTATCAAGTTTTTTAGAATAATTTACAAAACATTGATTTTAACGAGTCGTACACTAAGCATAACAATTTTTTAAATTATTAATAAAATATTAAATAAATATTTAAAATAATAAAAACAAAAAAGAAATTTAATCTTTAAATATAAAAAATTAAAGTAAACTACTTTTCATCTTGAAATATCCAAATTTTTATTCCCAATACTCCATAAATTGTTTGAGCTGGGTAATAACAATAATCAATTTTAGCTCGAAGAGTTTGTAAAGGCACTCTTCCTTCTCTAGCCCATTCTACCCGAGCAATTTCAGCTCCGTTAAGACGACCTGCAATTTGGATTTTAATACCTTTAATATTTGTTTTTTTTGCTAATTCAATAGCTTTTTTCATAGTTCTTCTAAAAGCAACTCGACTTTCTAATTGCAAAGCAATATATTCTGCAAGAATATTTGGTTCTCCATATGGTTTTGTTACTTCGGTTAAAGTCATACGAAGTTTACGGTCTCCAGAAGTTAAAATACTTTGTACGTCTGTTTTTAATTGTTCAATACCGCGTTTACGATTTTCTACTAGTAAAGCAGGAAAGCCTGTATGTATTTCAACTTGAATTAAATCTGTTTTTCTTTTGATTTCAATACGGGCAATTCCTCCATAATTTGAAGAATTTCTTATATTTTTATATACATAATTCTCAATACAATTACGCATTTTTTGATCTTCTTGAAGAAGTTTAGAATAATTTTTTGGTTGCGCAAACCAATAAGAATGATGATTCTGAGTGACACCAAGTCGAAAACCAAGTGGGTTAATTTTTTGTCCCATGCTTTTTTTCCTTTTTAAATGATATTAGCATAATCTATTTTTTATTAATTTTTGTTTTTTACGGTAATTGTTATATGACAAGTAGGTTTATGTATAGGATATCCCCGTCCTTGAGCTCTAGGTTGAAATCTTTTTAAAACAGGGCCTTCATCTACTTTTGCTTCACTTATAATTAAATTCGCTCTATTTAGATTTAAATTGTGATTTGCATTTGCTGCTGCTGAAGAAACTAATTGTAATATAGGATAACATGCTCGATATGGCATAAATTCTAATATCATAAGTGCTTGTTCATACGAACGACCGCGAATTTGATTAACTACTCTGCGCGCTTTATGAGCAGACATACGTATATGTTTAGCCAAAGCTCGTACTTCTAAATTTGATTTGTCAGATTTCATCGAGCCTTACCTCCTAGTTAACGACGAGATTTTTTATCACTTTTTGTATGTCCTCGAAAATTTCGTGTAGGTGCAAATTCTCCTAGTTTGTGACCTATCATACGATCTGTTATATAAATAGGTAAATGTTCTTGTCCATTATAAACTGCAATAGTATGACCAATCATTGTGGGTACAATAGTAGATGCTCGAGACCAAGTTATTATAATTTTTTTTTCTTTTTTTAAATTAAGGTCTTCAATTTTTTTTAATAAATGGTCAGCTACAAAAGGGCCTTTTTTGAGTGAACGTGTCATTGCTAACTACCTTCTGTTTTTATATATATATATTTTTTTTTTTATTTTCTTTTTATTAAATTATCCATTTTTACGTCGACGTAAAATTAAAGGATTACTATATTTTTTTATTTTGCGGGTTCGTTTTCCAAGTGCAGTACGACCCCAAGGAGTTAATGGTTTTTCTCTTCCAATAGGGGCTCGACCTTCACCACCTCCATGAGGGTGATCAATAGGGTTCATAACTACACCTCTTACTCTAGGACGTTTTCCTAACCATCGCTTTGCTCCGGCTTTACCTATTGTTTTATTATTAGCATCAACATTTCCAATTTGTCCAATTGTAGCTAAAGAATTTTGGGATACTAAACGAACTTCACCCGAAGGTAACCGTAATGTAGCTAATTGGCCTTCTTTTGCAATAAGTTTAGCTACAGCTCCTGCACTTTTTACTAGCTGTCCGCCTTTCCCTGGTGTTATTTCTATATTATGTATTGCAGTGCCTAAAGGCATATTGGTTGAAGTAGACTTTTTTTATTTACATTAAAAAAAAAGGTCTCTTCCCAAACTGGACAAGCCTTTCTCAAGGCATACAGCTTTCTAGATGTATATTTTTAATTTAATTAGTATTTAAATTATTTTTTTATTAGTTACATCCTAGTTTTTTCGTCATCTAACGTACTTTTTTGTATAACGTTAGAATGAATGATTTTATAAATTTACGTTAACATTTTTTGTTTACTAATAACTTAGGAGGCTTTTTTTATTGATAAAAATCATTTTCCAGTTTCAAAATTGCCTTTGACCATCAATTTGAATATGATTAACTTGTTTTTCTTTTTTATTAAATAATATTTAAAACAAGGGTTGCTAATATTTACTAAACTTAAGTCAAAATAAGATTTCTCCATATTATCGTATCTTTAAATTTTTTACTATAATATTGTACATATTTCAGAAAAAATTATATCACCAGCTATTGTTCCTTTTTAGTTTCCTTTTAAGGTTTACTAGAATAATTTATTATTATTTATAAGTGATAGATTTATAGATTTTTCTGTAAAATCTAGTTGGATATTTTCCAATTACGTAAATAAATAATTCAAACCGCACTCAAAGGTAAAGCATTTCCTATTAATATAGGAGCTTCATTACTAGAAATAATTGTATCTCCAACTTTTAATCCTCGAGGATGTAAAATATATCTTTTTTCTCCATCTTCATAATGTACAAGACATATGTTTGCAGTTCGATTAGGATCGTATTCGATGGTTGTAATTTTTCCAGATATATTTTTTTTATTTCGTCGAAAATCAATTTGACGATATAAACGTTTGTGACCTCCTCCTCGAAATCGGCTAGTAATAACTCCTCGATTATTACGACCTTGTTTATTATGTTGCCAAAAAGTCAGTTTTTTTTGTGGATTAGTTTTAACTAGTTCTTTAAAACCTAATACAGAACGATTTCGTGTACCTGGAGTATAGGCTTTGTATAAACGGATAGTCATAAATAAAGTAGATAAAAATTAAAAAAATTTATTTGTTTGAAAAGAGTGGAATAGAATAACCAGTTTTAAGTGTAATAATCATTCGTTTATAGCGTACTGAATGTCCTATAATTGGACCTATTCTTTTTTTTTTTTCAGGTGGTATATGGCTATTTATTGCTTTTACTTTAACATTAAAAAAATTTTCAATCCATTTTTTTATTTGTGGTTTAGTTGATTTTTTATTAACATCAAAAGTATATTGGTTTTTTTCTAATAACCGAATTGTTTTTTCTGTAAGTACCGGGTATTTTATTTCATCCATAATTATTGTGTCTCCTTTAAAAATAGTTTTAAATAATATTAAATTTTTTATTTAATTTATTTTTTTTAATTAATATTTAATTAATTGTAATAAAATATTTTTTTAGTCTATAAACTTTTTTTTTTATTAAGCTTATTTTATAGTTAAATTGAACT